AACAGATATAGCAAAAAACAGCATTTTCGACCCCACAAGGTCATTACGAATTCACCAGAATGCCTTTTGGGCTAAAAAATGCCCCTGCAACCTTCCAGAGACTCATGAATATAGTTTTAGCTGGAATCCAAGGTCTCCGATGTCTAGTGTACCTCGACGATATAATCATTTTTGCTGACTCTTTGGAAACACACGGGAAACGATTACGAGAAGTATTTGAACGACTCTCACAACACAATCTAAAAATTCAACCTGATAAATGCGAATTTTTAAGACGCGAGGTAATGTATCTGGGACATAAAATATCCGAATCAGGCGTGCAACCCGATCCCGCTAAAGTTACAGCTGTTTTAAGATTTCCGGTCCCTAAAACACGTGAAGAAATTCAATCATTCCTCGGGCTTGCTGGTTACTACAGACGTTTTATAGAAAGCTTTAGTGATATAGTTAAACCGATGACTAGTTTATTAAAAAAAAACGCTAACTTTAAATGGACAAGCACACAACAAAAATCGTTCGAGACAATAAAGAATAAACTTACCTCCGAACCAATCCTCATATATCCAGACTTCACAAAGGAATTTATTCTCTCTACTGATGCGAGCAATTTTGCAATCGGTGCAGTATTATCTCAAGTACGTGGTGTCACCGACAAAGATAAAGAAATCCAAACCGATTTACCTATTGCTTATGCCAGTAGAACCTAAACACTGCGGAGACAAACTATTCCACTATAGAGCGTGAATTACTAGCTATAGTTTGGGCTGTCAAACATTTTCGTTCTTATCTTCTAGGCAGAAAGTTTCGAATAGTCACCGATCACCAACCTCTGACTTGGCTATTTGGAGTCAAAGACCCTAGCTCTAGATTACTCAGATGGAGACTGAAACTAGAGGAGTATGATTATGAAATTCAATACAAGCCGGGTAAGAAAAATCAAAATGCTGATGCACTCAGCCGTATAACACTACATCCTGTTCAAACTCAAATAAATATTCACCAGATCCAATCGGATGGTTCGTACGAAGATTTTCTAACATCTTTAGAATCGACAATTATCACAAATAACCAAGTAGAAGAATACGACGAAATTCTAAAATCATGGGACGACAACCGCGTAATACTTATCTCCGAAGATTTAAATTTCAATGACAACAATGTCGACGTTAGAACGCATTTCGAAGAATTAAAAGAAATAAATCCTAAAATACACGATGTTGTTTCATTACCATTTAAGAAAATAAAATTATACTACGCTGTAATTAAATCGAATTCTTGGGATAAACCTACCCTAAAGGACATTTTTCTTACCTTTCTTAATCTGAAAAATCAATTATTAAAAGAAAACCAAACTTCCATCAATATTTCAAAACCAGCTAGTGAGTTTAAAACTCTTCGCTGGAACAAGATCCGCGCATTAATCAGATTTATTTTTAGACACTCTAACGTTCGAGTAAAATTATTTTCAAACAATTTAATAGAACCAAATCCTGACGAAATAAAAAATATTCTGGAGGAACACCATTCCACTCCAGCGGCAGGTCATACCGGTCACCTAAAAACTTATAAAAGAATAAAAAAGTTATATAAATGGCCTAATATGAAGCAGGATATAAAAAACTTCGTAAACTCATGCGACTCATGTCAGAGAAACAAATTAAATCGAAGGAAAAACAAAAACCCAATGATAATCACGACAACTTCGGCTAAACCTTTTCAAAAAATTGCACTAGATATTGTAGGACCGTTGACACTCACAGAATCAGGAAATAAATACATTCTAACCCTTCAGGATGATCTAAGCAAGTTTTCTCAGGCGTATGCTATTCCTTACCACGATTCAATAACCATCGCTCACGAAATAACTAGACAATTTATCTGTAAATTCGGACTACCAGAAGAAATACTAACCGATCAGGGAAAGGATTTTACCTCGTCTTTACTAAAGGAAGTTGCAAAATTGTTTAAAATAAAACAAATTCAAACAACGGCTTACCACCCTCAATCGAACGGTGCACTAGAGAGAAGTCATGCGACCCTTGCTGACTACCTCAAACATTTCATAAATAGTAACCAAACAGACTGGGATAAATGGATAGATTTTGCAATGTTCGCTTATAACACTGCCGACCATTCGTCCACAAACTTCTCGCCCTATGAATTAATCTTTGGGCATCGCGCCATTTTACCAAGCGCTATTACCAAACCTGTCGAATTCAGATACACGTACGATGACTATATTGACGACTTGACTTACAAGCTACGCAGATCACACGAGATAGCTCGAAAAAACTATAATCAAGTAAAATCTAAAACGAAAATAACGACAAAAACTCACGTGAAGTAACATATCACGTAGGCGATATGGTATTTATTACAAATGAACAATTTCCCAGGTCTAAAAAACTATCTGCTCGTCACAATGGTCCTTACGAAATCGTGAGAGTGGATCCTCCTGCAAATGTTACTTTGAAAATCAAAAATAAAAATGTCACAGTTCATAAAGATCGAGTCAAACTTGCAAGTCCTTCAAAGAATTATTGTTACAGCTTCGCACTCCCGGCGCTCGCTCAGTACCAAATTCACAATCTCGACCACAACCCTGGAGTTTACTACGATGAATTAGGAAAAATTGGTCTCTATGACAATACCTGGAAACTGGTAACGTACCTAGACATTTCACACCTTGACAAAAATTAAACCTCGTCGAAAACATTTTAAGCCAAACTAAGTTATTATGCGAAGCAAATCCACTATATGCTTGTCATACCTCTCTGCTACTATTAGATCAACTATCTCCAGAATTAAAGAAAATGGAAACAGAGTTAAAACAATTATTAGGCACTAACCGAGTAAAACGCGGATGGTTCAATGCCATTGGAACTGTCTTTAAGACTATTACAGGGAACCTCGACAACGACGACGCACGACGTTATGACTCGATGATATCTCGACTACAAAAAGACGAACACGAATTAGCTATAATACTTAAATCACAAATTCAGGTAGTCAGTACGACAATAGCAAATTTTAACGAAACTATAACTAACTTTCGCCGTAGCAAACAGATTTTGAATGACAATCTCGAATCAATGAGGAAATTTATGACTGATTATCTATACGAACGGTACACATGGACATGAGAATAAAGTTGAAAGTCATTTGTCTTACCTCTTCCTACTATACACCGAATTACGTAATGAACTAACTACTCTTTTAAACTCAATCTTATTTGCCAGAAGTAATATTTTACATCCGAGAATAATAAGTCCTGACCAGTATATCAATGAGCTGAAAAAGACAATGACACATGTTCCTCCAGGTTATCATTATCCCTACATGCTGGATAACGCAAATGCCCACTCACTCTTAAGTCTCATTACATTACAAGCTTATTACTCCGAATATCGAATTGTATTTATTATCAATACACCTCTAGCACGTGACACGCTGTTTATTTTATACAATCTCATACCTCTTCCTTCACTACGTAATTCGAGCCAGTACGTTTTTATCCAGCCATCACACAAATATTTACTTGTCTCCGAAACAAAAAATCAGTACTCATGGATCGAAGACATATCACATTGTAAAAGCTCTGACCCAGATTTTTATATATGTAAATTATCATATCCAATCTACTCATTTTTCCCACCTCTTCCTTGCGAAATAGAATTATTATCAGTGAAAAAGAATATTCCAAAAAGTTGCGATACTAGAATCGTACAAATTACCGATGAAAAATGGTATAAACTGAAGAATAAAAATTTTTGGATCTATATATCACCATTACCAATTTCTGTTACTATTTCTTGTGTATCATCCGAAGTAATTGACACTCGCCTTCAAGGAACTGGAATTTTTGAGTTGAAACCACATTGTAAAGCTTATACGCCAGTAACGTTACTTGCTGCGGAAAGCTCTTTCACGAGTAATTATACTATAAAAACCCTCCTTTTAACATCACTCAAGACGACTGTTGCGATATAAAAAATTCTACCCCTTTCAGTATACCTGTAATGCAACAACTACCTAAAACAGATGTTAATTTAGATAATTTAAATATTGCTAGCCATAAGTTAACCGTAATATCAAACATGATAGACGACTTGGAGAAACAAAGTATGTTAGATTATAAGGTATCAGTTTTCACGTACATGGTTATGTTGTATGTATTATGATTATCTTATATATTGTTCTTAGATGTTGCGGCTGCTGTAGAAAATATAACCTTTATCCATTTAATCGTAGACGTAGTGATGAAAACCCAAACGAATGCTCTAAATTTGTAAACTGCCTTACTTTTAATATTTGTAACACTTCTAAAAAAGGAAGGAAACCTAGCTCTGTAGATGTACCATTAGAGCCTTTACCAGGTCAATCTTCTGAATTTGGTCCTGTACCAGAACCACGAAGACCTTTACGCTCTATTGGTGTAATTAAAGATAAGTTCTAATATAAAACATTACCTTTAACTTAAGGAGGGAGGTGTGTATGATTATTGTAAAACCCTCCACATCAAAATAAAATTCAATCTATTTTATAGCAAACTATAACTGCCTAAGTGCACATATTATATTACTATAATTTTCTCATAGACATAAGATACTTTACTTTAAGGATTATATTATAGTCCGTCAGCAAGACGTTGGGAGCTACAGGCTACTCAACGAGCAATTTAGTGTAAGTTGTTAGATTAAACCTAGACTTAAAAGGAGCAACATCTCTGTATTTTTACTTCTACAAATATTCAATAAATCACTCAAATAAACCCAACTTCACAGTGTCGAAAATTGATTCATTACAGTATTAATTATACTCCTTACTCATTCGACACCATTTCTACTACTGATTGATGCACTTTAGTTATGCACTTAAAATGTTTCTTTTACTTGGCCTTGATCAGGCTTTCATAATTATAGATTGGTTTAATAATTTAAAACAAAATAAAATGTCTTAATAAATAAATAGACAAGTAATTAAATTTAATAGTACCGAAAAATTGTATTTATTATTATAAATTTCAAACTTTGTACAAATTTATTTTATATTATCTATCTGTACAGTATGCTGAATAGCATGAATAATTATAACAGTGAGAAAATGAATGAATATATAAATGATGATTAATCTACAATTGATGATCAATTAAAATTTTTTAAAAAATGATGTAAAATTAAATTTTACTATAAATCATTATGTTCATACATTTTCTTTGGCTTTGAGCACCACTTATTATAATACTCTCGCCGTGTATATTTAGTTAAATTAAAAAATTGGTAGAAAAAATAATAATAATTACTAGAAAATTATTTTACAAATTATGAAATTACTAGTAATTCATTATAAAAGTTCCTAGATTTTCTATTGACGGATTATTCATTAAGATCTCTCTTTTTTTGCATTATTTATTATGTTTTATATCATGTTCAATTTACTTTTCTGCAATTTATATATATATATATATACATATATATATATATAATATGTATTGATCTAATAGAGTGTATTTTCATTTATTTATCACTGATTATGATTATATTTATAAATACTAATTAATAATGCTAAAAATAAATTTTTAACACAGCTGACACATACCGTTTAAAAATCAACTGGACACGAGTTCAGTACCTGCAAAAAAATTTATTACTTCAATTAATTATTTATTTAATAAACATTATAAATTATTTTATATACTGTATATATTTGTCATATACTATCTACTTTCATATAAATATAATTAAGATTGTTTTTTGTATTGAAACAACTGAAGTCGAAAATAAACTTCAATCAAACAATAGAATATCTTCTTTTCAGTTTGCTTCACTTCTTATAAAAGTTCAGACAAGCTGACTGGATCTATTCACTCATGAATTGTAACATATAAGTATATAATACACAATATTATCGCTTGGCTGATTTTCTACTGTTTTCTTCAACCCTATTCTCAGAATATCAAGATTTTTTGGTAAACATTTGTGCATTGTCTGTTTTAAAAAATTGAACAAATGAAATTATTTTTAAAAAAACTATGAAGTTGATAAAGTTTTATATTTTTCTTATTTTTATATTATTTAATTGTACATAATGTCTATTTTAATATAAATAAATAATAAAGAAGAAGATCCACAAAAGGATAACATTCACAATCATTTTCTACGAGAATATTTTACCATTTCCGGTCTGAAGAGCCTTGGGGTTTTTTTTTTTCAATGATAAACTGAAAAGACAATGACCTTAGGATCATTCTGATGATTATTTTCTTTGTTTGAATGAACGAATAATTACAGAAAAAATGAAGGGAGTTTTAAAAAGAAAAAAAAATTAAGTAAATTCTTCTGGACGAAAGTATAAAAAAGATTCCTGATGTGGTTAATCGAGTACTTAAGTAAACCATTTGCATTGGAGGGTAATTTTTAGACAGAAAAAATAAAAACATTTTTTTTTCAGAGAATGATAATGCTGCTGGCGCTACAACGAAGGTTGAAAAAACCTACCAATGAATATATCGCTGAAATTGGGTTGTAAAAATGTATCCCCCGGCACCTTACGTCGTTTAATGTACCGCTAACTTGATTGTTTGCCGACTCTTTGGCCTTCTTGATTTTTTTTTTTTTTAAGCTTGAAAAGTACCCTTGAGAGTCAAGAGTCCAAGAGAGAATAGAGTATGTATATTAAATAGTGGAAATATTACAAGTCAAATTTACTGAATGAATTCGTCAGTCAATATTTCTAGATAAGTTGATTTCTTTCATCATTATTTTACTCAGTAAATAAGTAATAAAAAAAAAAAAAAATCTCTATAAAATAGACACATTAAAAAAACATTCAAGTATTTTATTTAATGAAAAAACGATGAATAAATGTTGAAAATTTTAACGTTGATTTCCGACGCTTCTCTGAATACTGCTAAAGGCTTTTAAACTTAGAGGCTCGAAACGACATAATAGTCAGTCACTGAGTGGTGCGAGCATCGCCAAGATTACTCCTCTCTTCTTGCTCCTAACTTATACTTATTATTACATTATCGTTGGTACTGTAGAAAAATTCATATACCCCAAGAGTTGAAATGTCCAAATAAGTAAGAAAAAAAATTTAAACACCAATAAGAAACAAAAAAAAAATACTTGCATTGACGTGGATTTTGAAATGAACTTTTACATCAACTTGATATAAATTTTTACGAAATAATTATTAGTCGTGGATACTTGAATTAAATAATAAATTTCCGTTGTCATGTGAGAGAAACGTGAAGTACCGAAGGCCTGTGGATGAGTAGCCAAACGCAAGTAGGCCTCTTAATGAACTCAGTTCAAAACCATTAATAATCTCAAAGTTTTTGGGTGGTGATGCGAGTAAAAGGGAGTCGAAAATTCCACTGAAGGATTCACGCAAAGGGAAACAAACTTTCTGAGCTTACGCAGTAGTTGGGAAGAAACTTTTTTATATTGAGTCTCGATCTTGAAATCTACTTGAACTTTTTTCAATTTATAGGTCATCATGACTTACAATATATAAATGAATATCCAAATACATATTTTAGTTAGTTTTTGATACATGGATTATTATTTTGGCTTCTTGTAATTTTTCTTGTTGTTTTAAAACTTGAGAAAAAAGCCTGCAAAATCAAATGACAAATTAATTAATCAAGAGTTATTACTCACGCCAAGTCACGCCATTTCTTTTTGTATTTCTTTCTCTGTCTCGATATAACGCGAAAGTGGACATTATTTTCACAAGGGAAATTTATCTGTATTTACATGATTAATTTTTATCTTAATGATTGCAAGATAATGCATCATAATGATTGTAAATATTTTTAAATCTATGAATCATTAAATTAAATTATTATTTCAACATTTTTAGATAATTTTATAAACTCAATTTATTAGTTACTCCAAAATGACGTGTACTTGGTGTGAGTCTATGTCTCTGAAAGTATCAAGTTTAGAAGAAAAAACTAAAACTATCTATCTTGAATATTGAATATGTCTAATGATTAAAAAAGAAAAGTAAAACAATTCGATTTTCAATAAATAGTTATCCCTTTCCATTCTCGAATGGCTTTTTTCTCTGAATAAAATATCGAATAGAATATCTTCAAACCCCTCTTTTACCCCAAAAACTCTCCAATTCTTCAGTAAATTGTAGCATATTTGTCAGATTTTTGTTCTCCTACAAAACATAGATACTATAAGGGATTCGTCTTAAGTGGATTGGCTTCTTCTTTTCACCCGCTTTTTGATCTCTTTCTTCACCATCCACATATATACATTCAATTGAATCGTTTCCTATTCTACTTTGCTTTCTATTTCTTTCATGATGCAATCAACATTGGAAGGGGATGACATACACATACGTGTCATTTATCCCACTCTGTTATCATATACTTTCCACGACCCTTTCAAGTCACTTTGAGATCCTGAAGTTGTCTATTTACGCCGAATATTCAATCACACCAATCTCTCATTTGCTCTTTTGCCAATCTCGATCACTTACCCTTAAAGCCTTTCTCTGGCGACGCTGCTTCAGGACCCACCGAATCTGATTCAGGATTTGTGTCAGCATCTGCAGGAGTATCAATCTGCAAAAAAAAAATAATTTTTTTTTTATAAATAAATTAAACTCATTAAAAATAGTGATGTAATTAAATTATAAATAAGATAGAAGCATTTTTTTTTTCAGTGAGAAAAATTTGAGGGTATGATTAAATGAATGAACTGGAAACATTGAAAAATAATGTGTTGAAAAGACATTATTTTTATGTGTATTATGAGGTAATATAATGTCGTGTTAGTTAAATCACACATGTGAATCGTCACAACGAGAAAACGGCGTGGGAAGATGAATCTCTTGGTATCCGTCGGCAGCTGTTCACACGTGTGTCTCTCTAGTTCATACATATCGTTCGTCCATACATGCAAACTCGATCTCGAGGTTCCTTACCGAGGAAAAACAAACAAAAATTATATTCTCATATGTTCAATTCACTTACTTTCCTTTAATATAAGCCAAATGTTCTCTGTAGTGATTTATGATTAATTTACTTTTGTATTGTTTTTTTTTATAAAAAACATTCATGAATAATTGTAATGTAATTTTTTTTTTCATCTAGAATTAATCAGAAGTTTATTGATAGACATTATAATAGTGAATGATGATGAAGTAAAAAATATTGTTTATAAGGTCATTGACACACAATAAAATTTAAGCATATAAAATAAATTGTCCACCAAAGCCCTTTTACCTTACTCATGTTCCTTTTCATTAATGATCCCTGACCCAGGCATCAAAAAAATTCTGGAGGTTTAGATAGTCGTAAAAAGCACTGTCTTTAACTTCAGACAAACTAAAGAACTGATAAAAAATTAGAAGACTTAGTAATCCCAACAAGATAAAGAGTCGATTTGAGTTGAAAAGTAGGAAGACGTGCGATTTTTTTTTATTATAAAAAAAAATACAACATTTTTTTTGTTTGTTTTTTTTTCTCTTTAAATTCTCATTCTTGAAATTGTATTTTTTGTTATGATACGTAGGTGTAATGACGCACTAAGAAGTCTTTTCCCATCGGTCTAAAAATAGAGAGTGTCATGCGACATTGCTACTAAGACACGTGTGTTAACATGTGGTTTAATTCCTCAGTCTTAATTTTTTTCTAATTATCCCTAATTTTCTATCCTTTCTGTCATTTTTTTTCACACTCAAAAAAAAGTGAGCATTCTTTATTTCACATTCAATTACTCATTTTGTTATTCTTTTATTTTTAATTAATACTATAAAAATTTTATTTAAAGATAAATAATGAAATTAGAATTTTATTTGCAAGCTAATAATTAAGACATTATATGAAATATATGTAGATGAAAATTTGTCGATTAAAATGAACCAACAACTTAAGACTACAGAAGCTACATCATATATCTCCTCGAAGATACAAAGGACACACGAATCATGTTGGTATGCAGGCTTTATTAACTTTGTGGCTGAGGGTATTAAGACTTGGTTTAAGAGAAATATCTTTCAACCCCTGGAGGTTCAAAGATAAATACTTTAGGACAACCTGAGAATAATTTAAAACTTCTAAAACGTGTGAAGAGTAATAAAATTTGATTGAATAATAACAGTACAAAATTCTCACTTTTTTACTCCATTTTTTTCATCATTTTTATTGTTTATTTTTGCTCCAATTTTTTTTTTTCCACCTGAGCTTTATGTCTTAATTTTTTAAATGTTTCCGTTTACTTCAGGCTATACTTTATGCACAATTCGCTACGGTTACACAAGAAAAAACATTGTATTTTTAAGCTAAAGAAATACTTTACAAACTCTCAAGATTAAGACATTCCCGAACTAATAATTTTCAAGCTCTGCCCTAAAATGTTTTGTCCACATCTTCAACCTGTAATTTATCATCAAAAAATTTCTATTTATTTTTTCGACTCAATTTTTTTGCAATAATTTTTTTATTATATTTTTAAAATTAAATTCAATCATTTAATTAGTATTTATCAATGGAAAAATAAACATTATTAATAATTTGAAATTTACTGTAAGGACAATAGGTGTTATTCCAAGAGATCGTAATGCCTGGAGATACACGAGCATGGATCTCAAGTCTACAATTATGAGCCATAGCATGTCGAAGTTTGAGCTCATAACGAACTCAGTATATTACCAAGTATTTCAAGCGTCTCATGATCATCATTTTTGCTTCTTTCAACGTTTTTCATTTTTTCCCGCAATGGACGATGATTTTATCTACAATTACTATTCAATTAAACTATTGAATACAATAATTAAATAAAACACACCAATTTTTTTTAGTTATATAATTACCATTTTATCAAAACAAAAAATTTTATAAGACAAACAAAGCATTTCTTGATAACTAATTTTATTGTAAGAAATTTTTAACAATATTATCGTTAGATTTTTAGCTCTGCAATGTATCAAAAGTCACGCACAAGGGGACTATTAATTCAAAGTAGATTAATATTGTCCCGTGGCCGTCGTCGCAGTAGAACTTATGGCGCTAATTCACCCTACGAGTTATTACCAAGCGCAGCAGCCACCCTCTGATGTGTTGCGTCTTGCCTCTCCGTTCCTTTTCCACTTACTCCTTAACATTCTAACTCTCTTATTCTACAGGATCCGCAAATATTTAAGCAACCGTTACATTTAGGTGTCATCCTACAAAATTAACCAACCGCCTGTGTTGTTTCTTATCCAAGTGATGTAAGTCAACTGTTTCTTGTAAAACATTGTATCTTTTTGTAATTTCAATTTTTCAATATCATCAAATTAAGTTATACATACTGAGATACAATTGTATCCAATGTTATCCAGTTAATTTATTAATATGAGTTGAATAATATTAAGTTTGGATAGAGTTAATGATTTTTTATTAATACTATACCAATGATGACGATGATAATGAAAAGAATAAAAAATCATTTAGAAATTCATGATGACAATGTAAAATTTCTGGTTGATCGAACATTTAGACACGGTTTAGAAGGGTGTCGTCATAGACTGATCCAGGAACTTGAAAATCTTATAAGGTTGCCACGTAGCATGGATCTATTAAGTTTTACATTGGCTCATTGGGCTACAAGGCATCAGAGTCAAAGCATGCTTCCGTTGTAGCACAAAGACTGCCTTCATGCTTCTTTCTCTTTATAAAGTAATCGTGGATTACTCTTCATGCTCTTCATTTTTAAAAAGATCTCCACTCCTTATACTACTTCACGTCTCGATGAGAATGCTCATTTTAATTCAAAAAGGTTTAATAACAGTCATAAGAACCATCTCTCACTAATGATTAGTTTATAATTGCTAACATTCAGATGATGAACAATGTCAAATGCTTCAATTATGATGGAAACTTTAGAAAATGAATGAATAAAGTGCATGAATTAATTTAATTCCAAGTCTAAATCATGAACAATGTTTTTTATCACCTTATGAAAAATCAACATTACTTAGGGTCGTCTTTTTTTGGGAAGTAATCCTGGGTCATTTCTTCAAGAACTTCCATGAGTAGTAGAGAAGTAAAGATACCCTAGCAAATTTTGTACAACCGGAGATCCAAAACGATTTGTGTAGTGAAAGTTTTCCCTAGATTTTCCTTGAAAGCGATATGGTCTTAGTGTGTCGCTTAGCACCCTATCTACCAGAATCTTGTCTCCTCTCTCCACTCATTCCTCTCAACTCTATTGCAACCCCAAAGAATCCACTGAGAGAAGGGGAATGCTGCGTTTGTCGTGAGCATTACTCACTTTCTAGACGCCTACTTGCAAGCCCCTTTGCGTCAAAGCATCCCTGAGGCTCACTGACTACATTAGGGGACAAATCTTCCTCTTTACGCTCGAGGTTAGAAACTGCCCCTGAGACGATAGACACTTGGTCAGCCTGATCTCCAGCTTATCCAGATTTTCAGCGATTGATTGTCCTTTTCTTCACTCTTCCTTAAATTGAGTGCTCCTAGAGCCATATGTTGGATATTTTTGTGTTTAATACTAACAAAGAATACTTGATGATAATCAAATGATGATGATATTTTATTTGGTTCAATTTATTGATGAATATTCAAGTTAATCTATTGGAGTATTATTTAAGAATATCAGTGTATTAGCTTTTGATAATTCATCAGTCAAAATTAATGATATTTATATTTATTCTTAACAGGCATTTTTTTCTGTTAATTCAAATCCTCTTGATCTAAAACGCCGACTTGTTCAACTCATCATCAGTCCACTTAACGCCAACCTGAAGTGTACAAGTAAGCTTCTGTTTGTTGATGCTAGACATCATACTACCAGCAGATTAGTCTCATATTCTATATTTTTTTTCTTCTTTCTCCTTTTCCTCTTCTTTTTCTCCCTCATCTTATTTTTTTCTTATTTTTCTCGTGTCTCTTTCCTTTTTTCGCTTCATCTCTCTTCTGCCTCGTTCGCAGATGACGCCAAGTCCTCATCAACGAACATGTGGTTGAATGGAAAGAATTCTTTATTACTCGACTCTTGATACTCAGAACACCTTTTTGCACTGTTTATTTCATTTTTTTTTTTTCTAATAAAATGCTCATGTTTGAATTTGATTTTTTATAAACTGTTTTGATATTAGGGTCTTTGGAGAATTCTGACAATCACATCTATAAATCATCGAATTTTCGAATTTTTTCTTTTTATCAAACACTGACCACTGTTGACCCTGTAGCCATAAATATTCCCATTAATATTAACTTACAGTAAAATCAGACTACAAGAGTGCGAACTCTCCTGATGTAGGGAGAAATGATAAAAAAAAAATATCTTATATATGCTGGGGACGAATCTCATATAAACCACAGCTGGGAATTGGTTCGAAAAATTCATAGGAAAATTTTTCTATGAATTTTATCTGTAGTTTCTACATTTACTTAGACTTTTAATTAATTTTGACGTATTTGTTTATCCAAAACCAATAAAAAAAAGGATTGATTGTTGAAATATTAAATTTATATGTTTTCACATTTGGTTTAATGGTAAAAAATATTTTTTCTTCTAATTAACGTGAAAACGAGTGTCTCCAAGTGGAATTTCTCATGCCACACGTTTTTCCATGAGCTCAAGATCGTTGAACAAGAGCGTGAACGTTTCTTACAGAAAGAGAGCAGGTAGTGGACTCAGTAGAGCGCGAGGGAGTGACGCAATAGCAATTTGTCATTGCGCTCAATGAACTCTCGTTTTCAGTTAAAAGTACCACATGGTTAAGCATTATTACAATACAAAATAATATATTTTATCTAAAAAATCATTTTGTCTCCCTTCCAATTATTAATTGATCCGTGAAATTAGAAAAAATGAAATCTTTACAAAACTGATATAGGCATAAAAAAATTTTTATTTTAATTAAATTATCTGGAGCAGATTATTATCTTAATGGTTAAAAAAAATTGCAAGTTATAGTAGGATGTTAAGATATTTTTTAACAACCTGACTTGGCTTTTATATTGTTTTCTTCACGTGGTTTTATTTACTTGTTACTTGGTAAAGCCTGTAAGTATCTTTATTACTCTGAATACTGCAGAGTGTAGATTTTGGAGCAGTGGCTTATACACACCTGGAAACTTACTAGAGTGATTTGATTTTAATGTCGACTTCACTGGCGCGGATAATTATTGCCATTATCTGCACGAAAACGCGCGTTTACTGTCTTCAACTGAGAAAACGAAGAAGGAAAGAAGAAGAAGAAGCTGAAGAAGAAAAGATAAAAGAAGTAAAATGTAGTTGAAACCAAGACGACTATCCGGTTTTGCCTGTAAGTCCATGTAAACAGGATTCTCGTTGATGCTTCAACTACTGCTTCAAAGACTTGCAGTAGACTTGGATTCTTCTGAAAGACTATTGTAAAGAGAAATGATGAATAACGAAATTGGAAAAATTGAAATTTAAGAAAACAGTTAACAGGTTATTTAGTTGAATTCTTTTTCGGAGAGAAAAGAGATGAAAAGGATAATCAAGAAGATCTAGAGTTGAAGATGGTGATGCAAGTCAAGACATTTAAGTAAGTGGAAGCAAGAGGCAAGGAAGATAAAGGAAAGAGAAAGAAGAAGAAGCGCGTCCAACGTGGACATTCGTCACACGACATCAAACGCGGCAGCCGACCGTCGGAGACCCGGCCGACCGACTCTAAAGACTTCGCTCGATCAGCCATGAAGAGAGTCAAACCTTCAGGGGGAATATTGGGTGAAACATCAGCGAAAAAATGTAGAGAAGGCTTTTTAGTTGATCTTAAGAATCAACCGATTTAAACTTATTCTCCATTTTATATCAAAAAATATCAGTATATCAATATATTCACCATCAAAGTCATCAGTATTTTCATCTAGTATATTATAACAATCTAGAGTCTTCAACAAAATTATCTACGGAAAGAGTTAACTGAAGGTTGCTCATAAAATCATTCAACCGAGACAAGAAGGAAACTAGTATGTTTGACGGAAGAGTTTATCAATAAATCATCGTTAAATATTTTTTTACAGAATATCTATAAGAATTTTTCAAATTAGAGTAAATATAAAAAAATATAAGAAGGGTCGAGAATTGGATAATAAAATATAATAAGATTCCTGAGATTAGAATAATAAACAACATCTAAAAATCTTACATCTAAAGTTTGAGAATGCTTATCATTTTCTTTCATTTCATCACATGATGATCGTTGTCTTGTGGTACTTAAAGAAAATCTCCAATTATAGAAGCTAATCTTATAATCCTAGAAGAACGGGTTAGAATTTCATGTTATCACACCCTTTCTTCCGCGCTACCTTCTATCTATTCCTTGCTTTATATATACTATTGTCTCTTGTTGGCATTTTAGGAGACTTGCACAAGATCTTAACTCTAAATTACAAACGTTTGTCAACCTGTACCCGGAATGAGTTATATTTAAGAACACTATTATTTAGCCTAAATGTAATTGTCTATTGTTGAGAAGTGGAAATGAAGATGAAACTTTTAAACTTGAAAAATAGAAAGTTTGATAAATATTTACCTTCAGTTTCAGAAGAGCACCTGGATATACGCCTAGAGAGCCAATATTCTGATTAGAATCTTTCAATTCATTATCACCAAGCATGAGATGTTGGTCTATGGGTGGTGCTCCGCAAATATTCATAGTCTGTAATAATAAAAAATCACGATTCAATAAAAAAACCCTCTAGATTTAGTAATAAATGAGTAGGAAAAAGAGAAATCATGTGATGGCGCCTTTGAATCTTAACTGCATGATGAGCATGCGACCTGGTAATTGCTTAATTTGTGGAAGCACGTTGGTGTTAGTTGCCGGACCCTCTGTTGAGACTTAACTCCCTCTTGTGCTCATCATGCTGATGGTGGAAACATATTCAGTTGGAGTTTTACGAGCGAGAAGCGCTTCATAAGTACATGGTGAGCAAGAAATGAGAAAGACAAAAAATGAAAATAAAAAATATTAAAAAGGCACCTTTACAAAAATATTATTTTTTTTTTTTTTTTCATTCCTTAACATTAACGTAAAAAATACTAATCAAACAAAGGTATTGCAGAAAATATGCAATCTTATTATAGATATAATTAAACATATGAAAATATGTGACTTTTATTAAGACAACAATTTGTGACTTAAATCAGTTTACGATTGGTCAATAATTAAAGTGAAGAAACAAGAATAGAGAGATAAAAAAAAGGCAAAGAGAAAATGAGAGAAGTTATATTATTATATTATATATAAGAGATGGAGAGCAAAGTTCCACTGCGAGGCCTGTTATTAGCGCGAGGTTTATGCTCTTTCAGGTTTTTGCTTATGGCCCAGGCTCTATGGTACCGGCCTCGCAATATAAATACGCTTAATAGTTTAAGCACACTCCCAAGGTACAAGATGCATATGCTAACCAGTCGTAACTATCCCTTTACTACTTTCTGCTGTATGGCTGTCTATTCTTTTCTCTTTCTCCTCATGATCATCAAGATGACAAGAAATCGCGTAAAATTTTCTTTCTTTTTGCTTTTGAGATAATATTTATCATAAAAATAATATACTTGAATTATTTGTTTGAAATTTTTTTTCTTTTAAATTTACTGTGTTTCAAAAGATATTTACCATAACTTTAAGTTCCTTTAAAGTGATTTGAGATGAAACCTTGAGTTGATGTGAGCCCTTAGCTTTCCTCCTCGACCTCGAGGGTCGTGAGCTCTTTACCGCACTCTACAACACAAAACGTAAAGTCACGGTGAGAATGAATGAAGTGAACGGGCTGATCAAAAGTGAATTAAATTGTCAGAGGGTGGGGATTGGTAGGTATAAGTAATATGTATATAGATATAAGGCTTTTGAGTCTTTGTGAATGAATTCAGAGCCACTCAGAAAGGTATAATAACAATTATTACTGTGAAATTAATGAGACTGGAGGCTAGTTTTTAATCATCTACCATCAATCTACAAGTTTTAAAATTAAAACTTTCAAATACATTCACAATATGACTCAACAATTTTATTTAAAACATTTCAAGTAATATTTGAACAAGTAAAATTTCTCTGTTTAATTATCTAGTACAATTAAAAGTTATTTTTTCATTAGTAAAAATATTTAATTACCTCATTTTCTTCACCATCAACACATTGGATATAAATAGTAGCTTTATCGTATGTTAAACTATCAATCCTTTCTTTTTCTTCTCGTGCTCGCATGCAAGAATGACATTCACCTGAAACGTAAATACAATTATTTCATTAAAAAATAACACATAAATAATTTCTTGTTAGTCAAAGATCAATATGTTTATAATATATAAATGATTGTATCAAAATTTAGTAAGGTTTTAGAAGTGCACAGTGGCGAGAGATGCATAATAGATTGTCGGACAGGGTTTTTGGATGATTAATATAGTAATTAATAATATACGGTGACCATGCAAGCGTTGAGGATAAGAAGCGTGAGTTTGGCCATTGTTGCCGGCTGGACAGGATCCAACGAAGCAAAAAGCAAGCAAGAGGTCCTCGGTAGGATACTTCAGGAGTATTACGTCATGTTGAGGACGATTTTCCATGAGAGTTTCCTTTAGGGTGGACCACAGCCCTAGAGGGTTACACTCACCAAATTAATTCGAATGTCCACCCTAAACTTGTAATTACCTCGATAGGACTCCTACGATAACAGGATATCGGAATAGAACTAGAGATTTAAGCTAATGAGCGTCGTGATCGGTTTCACAATTGTCTTCAAGATCAATATTTACTTTACCAATAATCTAATTCATCAATTTTTTTCAATTAAACAACTGATCAATCCCCTTTTTTCACTTAAATAAAATATTCAAGACCTAATTGTTAATAGTTATTGATTTTTTTTTTTTTTGATAAACAGAGATTTTTTGCTATAAAAAATAGTAGTTTTAGACATTAAACAGCGATGAAGAGACTCTGAACGAGTCATTTTATTGCCAGATAATATACAATACACAATAGATCGAAGCTGGAAGTAGTTGTATTTCCCTAAAGTGCCATCAGAGAACAGTCAAACCATAAAGCTAACGCAGAAGCAAAAGTTTTTGTAATACTAGAGTGTATATTGTGGTATGTAGTAGATACAGAGCTAAGTTTACTGTCTTAGATTTTATTCCAATCGACAAACAACTCGTAAATGCACCTTCCAAAGTCCCAAGGGATCGTCAACAACTACTTTACAGCTTTGCACATTTGACAAAAGATCATGTTATGAAGAAAAAAATATTCGAGGTAATCATAAAATAGTTACATGTTGAGTTCTCAAAAGCCAATCATTTTCAAGATTGGAATGATCATTTTTTGTCAGAATATTGATAATGTGAACATTAAAAATAGAGAAGTACACCTGCGCCCTAAAGACAGTCCAAAAGTAATGAGAAGACAATTCTCATAGAATCGTTGAGCTAATTAGGAACGATAAATCAAAAAGAGAGGGACAGGGGAACTTGACAATCGTATAATGCTGTCGGTGGAGAGGAAAGAGGACAAAATATACACGAAATTGGACACAACCAAGAACCATATCCGGCGAGGCCGAAAATTCTCCAGAGAATTAAGCGAAATCGTGTGTGTGTGAGGGACGAAAGTGGAAAGCAAGGGAAAAAATAACGTGCAGGATCTCGTCACGGTTAGGCAGACCGAGAATTGTCTCCGAGTTGCCTAAAGGCATCCAACGAATCTTCTTTTCCTTATTTCATCTTCTCCACTGTTTCGTCTTCAACGTATCCTCGAGGTGATTAATGCTTTAGTGCTGTCAGAAATTGTCAAAGGTCGTGAACACCAATTATCCAGTTTTTCCTCAATCAAATTTTTTTTTTTAAACTCATGTAACTAAAAATAGTTATTTAATATTGTTTAACAATAAAACAATCATTTATTAATTTCACTATTATATTAAATGTATACTTTTGTCTTTGACAGAAACTTGGAATTTTTTTCCAACAGTTTATGAGAATATGTGACGAAGAATAAGATCTATTGGCTTACGGTCTTCCATCAAAATCGAAAATACGTTAGCGACACACGTGACTGTGTTATATTAACAGTCCAGCGATTTCCATTCATAACTTCCCAGTCACTACGACTAAAAAGATTAATGTTTCTGTAGAATAAAATTTTTTTCTCCAGTGTTTTTTCGTTGACTTCAATGTGATTTACTCTGAACTGTATGATTTCTAAAGTCTGTGAATAGTTAATAATAAACTCACAACAGAGCTTATGATATTGATGTCTGTTAAGTTTGTTAAACAAGTATACAACATCATTGTGTGGTTTGTCTTGATCTAAATGGTCTTAGAAGGAGCCAAAGTATAGTCAAAGACTAACTAACGTCTTCGAAAAACCACAACAAAGAGGTCTTTAAGCTTCTTACCCTGAAATTCTAATCTCTCTATGTATTCTTGTTAATGATGAAGACATATTAAAAACGAAAAAGGAATAAATGATAATTTTTTAAGCTGCAAATGAAAGTATTTATTAGAAATATTGTAATTACAGAAGGCGAAGATAAAAGCGTGAGACTTTTCGTGGTGACAAGCGAACACGAAACGAGCTTTGGTCTTGTTTTATCTTGTTTTCTACCCTCTTAGTACTCTCGAGCGTCGGGGTGAGCATCGGTCATCGCGACGCTCCATTTAATCCTGAAGGAAAAGCTACCCCCCGTGGGGTTTTCATGGTTCAACTAAAGAGATCTCCCTATCAACAAGACAAAGATGAAAAGACTTGTCTCTACTTGCAAAAGCGCTAATTTCATCTATTCCCATTCTGGTAGATGGTTTGTACGCAAGAATTAGAAACTTCGCACTGGTGAACATGAAAAATATCTCTTGATATAAATTCAATGGTGCGACCAAGAGTCGCATGGTCGAGCTGACGGTATCCAATTTGGTTTCCCGCAGTGCGGATCTAATTCAAGAGGTAAATTACATTCTTGATTCCCTTCTACTTCATTTTCTGAAACCTCTAATTCTATAAGTATTCGTCAAGTCAACTTTAAATGGTGTGCATTAAATTTAAAAAAACTCCTTCAAACAACAACATCCAAGACTGTCATGAAAAAATATTATTATTGGTAAAATGTAAAACACGAAGAGATCAGTAAATGATTAAATTGGATAAAGTTGACGGCTTTTAGGCGTTGTAATTTGATTGAGAGTAAGGATTAAACTCTAAATCATTTGTAGACAATCAACATTCAAGTATTTGAGAAAGTTCATGTCCTTACCATTTGTCGAGTAACTAATACCACTAGACCAGGGTCAACGTGCCGATTTCTCTAAATCTAACTGCTACAATAACTCTTGAGACCTAACGCACACAATCAAGATACTAATCTGTAAATTTGTGTTCTAAATCAGTAGCACCAACCGAATATTAATTTTAGACATTCTCTCTTCCATTTACGAATCTCCTGTTGTCCTTCTTCCTTGTTTCTGACCACTTCTCACCCTCTTACTTGTACTCTAGAATGTTTTGTGATACAGGATTACACTAACTCGTGTGATTTGCAACACCCAAAGTCCATCTACTGATATATTTATGATACCACAAGAAACTATATAACTTTATTAACTAGAAACTAAAGGTAATGCTAGAAAATGTTGTTCTAGAACAATACATTAAGCAGTCTGATGAAAAAAATTGATAGAATACAATCATTTACATCAAAGTAAAACTAATCTTTAAAAATGCTCATGAATTGTTTGAAAACAAAAAGAAAAATCTAGAGAGTGATTGATTAGGTTGAATTGTGCCTAAAGTGATGTGACGTTAGTAGAAGGCCACCCTCATAAGCTCTGGACTCGAATGAACCAAATCTCTGCTTGTTAGTTGGTAACGTATCAGTCACCGAAAACAACCCCTGATTTTTCGTCACTCTATCCACTTTCAGCCATACAAACCACTCCAAATTGTATGTTTGTTTTAGTCTTCCATCTTTTATTTAATTTTTTTCTGGCCTTTCCTCGTCTTTTGCCTTTGTGTGTTCTTGTCTACCTTCATTTGTTTCTCTTGCCGATGACAATGATAAAAATGATAAAATAATTGTTAAACTCTCAACATCTCTATCTTAAATGTAGACGAAGGTGACGTAAAATTCGATGCGGCCTTTAAGGCCAGGAGAGAGTAGCAGTTTTGCAATTCAAATTGGCAAGCCCGCCCCGGTAGCGCGATAGTCGAACCAAGTGCCTTGACAAATGTAGCAAAAAATCGCACACTAAGAGACGGACAAGACAATGGGATGTTTAGAGATCGCCGTTACACAATGCGTGACTCTTTTTTTTTTCTCACTCACTCTCTCTCTCTCTCCTTCTCTCTATTATGCTCTTCAATATATATCTTGAAACGAAAATAAATGAAAACTACAAACCAATTTGCCTGTTTACCCAACAGACTTATCGTACACTTTGATTTAAATCCTTGCATATATACAAGAGAACGTCGTTTGAAATTTTTTAAAGAATAAATAAAAGTCATCTGTCTCACGATGCATTAAATAAGCGTTCATTTACGACAGACTTTTATTTTGACTCTTAATTTTCAGGCTACTTCTTAATTATAATGAGACACTCAAGACTGCTGATGTACAAAGGAATGGGGGATGGATTTATGTAAATTAAGAGCTAATGTCTTCTGCATTTATTTGAAAAAGTAATAGAAAAACAGGCACCAAGGCGATTTGCTTATATGCAAACTGTCGAATTTTTCAACATCTTATCATTATTTACATGACAACAGAGAGGTAATTAATTAACCATTAAATGAATGAATTTGCTTTTTCTGATAGCCAATAAAGCTTAGGGCAATCGAATCATTGGTTTTAGTAATTAATTACTTTCTTACTCCTTTTTTTCTATTTTTTTTTTATCAATATTTTTTTATAATGCGAAAAAAATCACTTACCAGGCACCGTCACTAATTTTCCATCTTCGCCAGTATTTCTGATCTCGATGGCATAATCAGCTTTATATAATTCAGTCAATTTTGTCCACTCATCAGCAGTTATAATACCGTATCTAAAAATAAAAAGTCAAAATGTCAATAAACCAATAAGAAATTTCATTTACATCTATTTGTAATTGTATTAAAATTTTTATTATTATTGAATGCTTAATTTCTAAACAAATCATCTAATTTTCATATTCTTTATTATGATTATTATTTAATTGTTGAACAGTTTTGAATGCTTTAATCAATAACTGATGGATAATGCAAGTGTTTATTGAAACAACGAAACGATGGAATATTTACTAACGATAATTAGACCCTCAAATTAATTTCAATTTAACGCAACCTGTGCGTCAGTCTCATTTGAATTTTCCCTGTTGTCAATCGACAGCAAGAAACGTACGACTGATGAGAAATCCTGTCACTATTTGCCTAACGCTCAAATAATAGGTATAAAATAATACAAAAAAAAAAAAAACAATAAAAAGTCAAAAAAATGAAAGTAATTGGAATTTGAAATTTTTCAAATTAAAAATACCTTAACTAATAAATTAAATTGAAATTTATAGCATCAATGAAAGTTGATATGCTTGAAAAAATTGGAGAAAAAGATTCTAGGAGAACTAGAAGTGAGTGAGAATTCGTAAAAATGATTTTTTAACAACACAAATCGTACAAGGGTGTAAAAGAGACCGCGAGAAGGGTAGTGCCTTGAGTTGGGACGCTATCTTAGGCAGATAGTGGACAATGGCTTAGCATAATGGTCAGAGGGTCGGATGCCAGTGGCCTCAGGGCGTGTGGCTGACGTTTTCGTGTATCCATCACCACTGACTCCCTTCACTACATAGGGGGTGAAAGGCGTGCCAGGAGGTCAGAAACGTTTCTAAATTCTCCTGTAAATCGTTTATGATAATATTTACTCTACTTTGCCAAAAAAAGTCCATGAGAAAATAACATCATTTCCCTAGAAAAGTTACAGCAAATTTTTCATAAAATATCAATTACAACCTTTAACTTTTAATAATAACTATCATGAACAGTTTAAATTTGAACAAAATTGAGAATCATTCGTTTTAAAGAATATCATTAGCATTAATAAAATTTAAGGAAATGTTTGATAAGTTCTGATACTTACAATTCATGAGTTAATGTTGGAAGATACAGAAAACCCTTGTGTTCTTCACATAGAAGGTGACTGTTGTTAATGTCTGTTGGAGGAGGATGTCTTCCACCACACCTAAAAAAATATTTTAAATATAATTAACCATCAACTGTAGATGAGCAACTTAACTAGAGCTTAAAGTAGAAAAATGATGTTGGAAAGTATTTTGAATAAAGTTAATAGTACTTATCAACTAGATGAGATCATTAATATTATTTGAATGGTGATAAATTTAGATAAAATATTAGAAAAGAGGGACAGCAAAAATAATGATTGACAGAATAAATGATCATGTGTGACCTAGAATCAGACATCATCAAGAGTGTTGGTTTGTCTTCCTCTGGGACATTTAGGAACAAATAAAGGAAGATAGAATGAGCATGACATTCAGCTATATAGAAGTCTAAAGGGAGTTGGGGACAGTCTTGGGGAAATCGGGAGCTGTGCATCATTTTTCACATACCACAAAGGGGCGGATCGTTTTTGCTATCCCCCTTGATTCTCCTATGCTAGATAATGTCCTTAAAGGAGGATATCTCGTCTAACGACAGGTATAATCACAGACTAACTACATTTAAATAAAATAAAAAATTATAATACAATACTTAAAAAAGAAAATTCGTCAAAATGGAAATTTTTTTTAATCCTAAGGTAACGCAAATTACTGAGAGATAAAATTGGTGAATGTTGAAAAGGGGCAAATACTAATAAATAGTCTACGTTTTCTCATGAGAGAGAATGCATATTAATTATGAGGCTTGTTCAAATATAACTAACATATAGCAGAGACAAGGTGGACACTGCTACCCCTTATTACAAGGGGATGCCTCTTGACTCGCGCTATTTTTTTTATGCTTTTCAACGCTTCATTGTTTAACTTGCGTCGCTGAATTTTTCTCATTCTCTTCAACTTTTTCCTGTTCACTGTTCAACAGTTCTCATATTGTTCCCCCGAGGACTACGTTTTACTCGAATGTTAAGTAAACTATGTATGGTGAATCATATTATTTAGTCCTTGACTTAACATTACAAAAAAATTGTCCAAATTTTTTAAAATATTCCTTTGAATAAAATTTATCCTAATAAATATCATAGCCAACATGATTGGATGATAAAAATTATCGTTAATCACCAATGAATGGTTTATTTTTGTGCTTAAATTAAGCTATCAGTATTGTATAGTTGGATAAAATATAAATCAAATGAAATCCAATGTGAATTGGATACAATAACCAATTGACATAACGTGAAAATAAGCAAGTAATAATTTATCGGTGGTATTTTTGTCTAGGCTCAATATCAATAGGTGGTTACAAGCATTCTGCTTTAGGGTATTCTCCACTCCCTGAAAATATCACCCACGTGCCAAAGGCAACAAGAGACTTGCAGTCCTTTCTTTACTCCATCCTCTCTCTCTCGATGTCAAGCTTCCGGCACGTCCTTTTAGACTCTCAGCTCTTTCTTCTAGATTTTTCTCTCTCTTTCTCTCCTCTCTTTTACTATCTAGAAATAAATCTTATGTTTTCGCCTATAAGCGGCCTTTTAATATCACCAACGGTTGATTTACGGCTACGTAGCATGCATTCACCCTGCATGGATGAGAGAGAAAAGTATAGAACTCCCTTCTTTCCAGTGACATTTGTCTTCCGACCTCGAGACCGCCGCCGGGACCCCGTTGAGGACTTTCGTGGTGGCTCTGATTTAACGCCCGACGGCTAACATTTGACTAAATGCCCACTACCAACCACTTCCACCATGTCCCAAATACCTCAGCTTTTAGCAACTCTTAAAACATTGGGTTAATATTTTTTACATCATGTTTTTCTAAAAGATAACAATGGTAATTAGTTTGTTGCATGATTTTCATGGTACATAATCTGACTTTGAGTCTATTATTACTAGGTGTACAAAATTAGCAAAAATCATTTTATATAATACTCATTATCCTACTCATAAAAAAAAAAAGTAATTGTGTTGTTTTATTAACTTAAAAAAAAAGTGATTGAATAAAATATTTCTTAATGATCTAGAATCTATATAATTTAATTTAATTCAATCCAATTTCATACATGAGTTTCATGCAAGAATGGACAGTTACCTCGAATTTCACGGGTACATTTTTCTTTTTAGTTTTTTTTTTTTTTATAATGTGGTTAACAATAAAATATCCTGCCAATAAACTTAAAGAATCTAGGTCGTGCTATCAACCAGAACGATTTCAGGTTACTTTACCGTTAAAAAGAGTTAATTTTAACTAATCTTTCATCTAATATTATTATATTTTGAAATTATTTATTACACACATCTTATTTCTACCAAATTATTTTTCAGAATATTGATTTAAACCTGAAGCCAGTAAACTTGATATAATTTTCCTTCTGTGGAGAAGAAAAAAATTTAATCATTCCAAGTGACGAAAAAATTAGCTGTTTACATTGCAGCATCATTATTTTAAAATTTCTTATGCCTTATTGGAAGAAATATAAATACGAGTTTAAAAAGATAAAAAAGTCAAGTTTTTTTAAATTGAAAAGGTCAGTTATTATCAGAAAAAGTAATAAATATTTTTTTCTCAATAACAATGTGCATTTAGCTGTTCGTTTGAAACTTTGTCGTCACACAGTAACTCAAGCTCTACAAACTCTTGTGGCCAGGATGTCGATTATCGATGCTTTTTTTCTTTCAACGTCAGTTCTTCTTCACAAGATAATTAGTTTTCATTATTCTCGACTTCCGTTTGTCGATCATTGTTATTCCTCGTTTTTATAATAAATAAAACAAATTGAATGAAACAAAAAAAAACCAACATTCCAATGATGAAAATTGCATTTTTAAATTAAAATATCAATAATTATATTTATTTTATAATTAATTGAATTATCACGAGAGAATATGACATAGAATCACTTATACATTAATTTTGATTTTAAAAATATATTTCAGTATTTAATTTTATTTTTGCATCTTATGCTGACTTTAGAGGAACAAATTTCAACTATTTTGCGTTCATTTTGAATCAACGCATGAACAAGAAGAAGTTGCGGAAGGAAAATAATAAATCATTGAGAGAAGAGTCGTAGTAAGCAAGAGAGAAAGAGGACGTGCATCGACTCGCGAAATCCAACTACCCTTAAATAAGTTGATTCATTGCATGTTCCCTCCATACACTATGTTATTCACCAGTTTCTATATATGTATATATACACTCTTTCATCCCACTTTTCCTTTTATTCCAAAGCGTATCGAGCCTTGAGTTGTTGATATTTTGCTAATTCCTAAGAGATTACCCATTCTACTTCCCTCTAACATTTGTATATTCTAGCTGCCTTGCTGAAGAATTCGAGGGTTGGAAGTTGTTTCTAAAATTCATTGATGATATATTGGAACTCATTCCATTATTTCTTTCAGTAAATTTGCTTTTTTGCCACTTAAACTATTATTTGATATTGAACTATTATTCTTCATAATTAAAAAAGAAAAAAAATTTGAAATAATGTTTAAATTTGTTAGAGTAATAAAAAGGAAGAAAACAAATGTTGGCTGAGATTGAAGATATTTCTGATTTTAATAGACTTTTTTTTCCAATAACAGATTACACTATGTGACAAGTGTAGATACTCAATTCATAATCGACTGTCAAAGCCATTTCAAGCTGTAAAAGTGAATTGGAAAAATTAGAGAAGAAAATTTTTCGGGATTTCTCACTCTTTTGGGCTTTTTTCGATGCAGTCATTTCTGTCTACTTTTATGGTGGAAAGGGAGGTGGAAAGAGGATAGAAAGGAGAGCAAGAGAGGAAAAAGAGGAGAGGGGTAACCAGTGTCTCGGGGGGCGGTCATATATCATCCACCCCCAAGAGGGTGGGTTTGGCAAAAAATCTTACCAGCAAAAACTATCATCAGTGCTCGGCAAAGCGAGCTGAACGCTCTTTCTCTCTGTCGCTCTTTCTATCTCTCCTTCCTTATTCTCCTGCTCACCCTATCCAAGTAACTTTGTCTATAACCTACACTGTTTCATTATCATTTGTATCCGACATTTAGAAAATCAGCTTGAGAAATTAAAAGATTTTCACATTTCTCATTTGTATGTGATAAAGAAAATTTACTAAAAATAATTGATATTTTTAAGTATAAAAAATTCAACAAAATAAAAAATAATTTTAAATAAAAGCTTAGAACAGAAAATGTGAATTTTCTTTGTATTAAAAACTGACAATTAGAATGACATAAGGATTTGCCTGACTTGCGTGCATTACTAAATTTGAATGACGCGAAATGACGCTTTGGTTTTAGGTCGGTAATCTATCTGGACATGCGTGCTTAAGCAGGATCAACTCTTTGTCCGGATTAAAGCAACGTCATGCCTACACACATGATTCGTCTTGAGGGGATATAAATGAGAAAAGAGCTTTTACCCTTATTCAACTATTTTTTCTTCTTCATTTACTTCATTCGCCTGATTTATCTCGATTACTAAACGTGTTAGAGATGATACAATCATCACTTTTGTCAAAGAATATTGATCAATGATTCATAATAAAAATAAATATCTAACTTGATTCAAGTATATAAAACGGACAGCTATATCAAGTTAAATCGACTCAATGGTACCTATTATTGATAGTATTCAAATTGATTTAACGACAAAATTGAACCATCAATTTACATACGTACGAAAGAAGAGAATCTAACTAATAATTTAAGCACCTGTTGAGCCTTTGTAGCTCGATTGATTACCAAAAAAAAAATATATCCTCTAAATATCAATAAAAGTTGATTTAAAAAATGGATCAGGTATTATTTGTAAATCACTTTAAATGATAAATTATTTAAATCACTTTGACACTTTCTAAAATAGTTTAACTAATCAAGAATAAGCTTATCATTATTTTCATGATTACAAAAAAAATGAGTACATCAATGCAATTTGTCTGCTTCCATCTTCAAAAGTCCTTCGTAATTCGTCAACGTCTCAAGGATGGATTTTCAAAAGGATTAGCTATTTGCATAGACAATCGCTCAAGCTAGAGCTTTTGTGCTGTCTCTTTATTCTTAAATTTTTTCTACTTTCCCTTTTCACCCTTAACCAAATTTTCAAATTATATCTTACTCTACCTTTTTAACTCTTATTTTAAAATACATCTAACCTATTAAAACAAAAAAATTATATTAAAAAAGAAAATATAATCCAACTTTTTTCAGGCTTTTCAGATTAAAAAATCATTGTCAATATGATAGATTAAGACTCAGAATGACGATAATGTTGACACGGTATTGTTGGTGGTGGAGACAATGTTCAGAGGTTGGATCGTGGTCTAAATGCGTGGAGAAAGCTAAAGAGAGCCCGAGAGTCCTATAATTAATAACTCGAAATTGATTAAGGTGTCAGATAAGTCTATAGAACCCGCTTGTAGACCTCGTCCTTGCACCCTTTCTCTCTCTAGCTCTTGTTCGTTTCGCTTACTCTGCAATATGATTAATAATTTTGAGATAACGCCATCCTGGACCCTTCTACGGTTCTCCCGATTTTCCGACGTTGCTGTACGGCCTCATAAATGACTAATTATCCTCCAAAATCGCTTGTAATCCTAGTAAGTCGACAAAGGTTCACATATTAACACCAAAACTATTTTTATTATTTTTATATGCAAACAAAAAATTTTCTTAATACTGCCTTCTGATCGAATGTATTTCAAACTCAATATCAACAATTCTCAGAAAACTGAATTATCTATTTGGTTGTTCGAATGATTTATTTGGAGATTATTTTTAATTTATTTTTTTCTATTAACAAAAAAAAAAACGAATAAATACATCAATAATTGAGTGAAATTGCAGCAGGGAAAACGCAATGTCGAATAAGACAGAGCATTGAGAGTTCAGACAGACTCATTTCCCGCGTTTCCCGAGGGTGAACTCGATGTATCATTTGCCGGTAGATCGTTAGGCGGTTTCAATTAGTTTTCCCAAGCTTCCCCTACTTCCACCTTATCCCTAATCGCAAGAGCTACTTTTTTTTAGGGGTACAATTAGGAGAAAGGTCGTTAATATATCTAGAATAACGCTCTTTTCGTTTATCCTCATATGCTGCTACTAGACAGATGTAATCAAGATATTTCAATCACATATAAATAAAAATGTCATCAATTTATACATCAATGATCAACATTTTGAAAGGCTTAAGTAGAAATGAAAATAAATCATGAAAGTCTAGAAGGATTTATTCTGTCAACCAGCAAAATTAGAATTATTATAGTTAATCATTCAACTAATCTCAACCACGAATGGAATATTCTTCGTTCCAAATAGCAGAACATGTACCTTTTTTTCATTAGGCACAGTGATAAAATGATTAATTTTCCTTCCTTTTTTTCCTTATTTATCTATATCAGTTATTTTATGAATTGAATTCTAAACACTAAAGTTATGTAAAATTATCTAAATTATTTAGTGAAGTTTTTTTTATACTACTTTAAAAATATTATGTTGGAATTCCTTAAAACTAATAGATAATTTTATCGTATCAGCAATTTGCAATCTCACACCTGAACTCATATTTAAAATAATGTAATTAATAAATGATATTTTAATTTTTTGCCAAATTACCACTGTACTGTTTTTTCTCCATTATTATATTCATTAAAAACTGTTACATGAACATTTATTGCTAATTTTCGTAAATTTTTTTTACTATATTTATTTTACTTTGAATGCCATCTAGCGATTGATATGAAGTAAAAATTTGAAGAAAAAGGCCATCACACTCACCGGATAAATGTCCTCCACGTCTCCAAAAATCCTTTTTCTAGAATAAAATACTGCTTCTCTGGACACCTTAGAATCTCATTTCTATTTCTCAAGAAATAAAGTTCATTAAGTTCTTCCTTTTGATGTTTGGCTTTAATTTTATCATCCTTTTTTAACCTTTCATTTTCTTCTACTTTTTCTTCACAGATTTCACAGGGTGGAGTACCAACAGGATATTCCATAGCTGAAGGGAAGTATTTTTTCAAAATACTCCATGCAGCAGCTGGAACGATTTTTCTAGCTGCATCAGGAGTTCTTAAACTGTCATGTTCACACAAAAGATCTTCATTAAAGCTGAGTATTCTTTCTGATTCTTCTTCCTCATCTTCTTTTGTATTCTCACTTTTACTCTCACTATTTCCAGTTCCACGAATTTCAAAATCGTTATAATCTTGATGTGAATCTTCAAGTTCCATATTTTCTAAAGCAAGTCTTCGCCAATATTTCATTGAAGCAGCACCAACGATATAACAATTGTCTGTACAATCTCTTACCAGTTTCATTATTTCTGTAACTTCTTTTCGATCTTTTTCAAGTTCTGACTTAAATTTAAGTATCTTACAACGTTTTTTGACACAAATTTCGCATAATGAATTATTGTCGAGTCTTGGTCCACCGTTATATTTCGTAAAAAGTAATTCAGCAGCTGTAGCTGGTATGCACTTTGTACGATTAATTTTTAACGGATCTAGTTTATAATGAGTACATATTAAGACTGAATTATCAATTGGAGCAACAGCATCAGGTAGACCTGAATGATCACCTAACCACTTATTAAGCCAACTAGTAGGAATCCAAGAGTATTCTGTCCAATCTGAAGAATTAAGTAACGTGTAAAAATCAATAACTTCTTGTCTTTTCAAGTTTTGATTTTCAATTTCCTTCTGGTTTTCTTGTTGAATAGCAAGTAAACTTAACTCGTGCTTTATATTTTCTTGTCTTATTAATTCTCTAAGTTGTTCGCTCAACTCCCATTTGTCGAATTCCAGTTCTTCATACCTATCGCGATCATGACAGCTCATAGCTCGGTGAGCATCACCATTTAGTGTTTGATAAGTTTTTTCCCAATTATTTCTTTTCAACTCATCACATGTAAGATCTTTTTCTAAATTCAATTCTTCAGGTACAGTCTTATGCTTTTTATCATTATTATTTGTATTTTCGTAGTCTTGAATATTTTTGCAAACTTTTTTATTCATGGATTCTGAATCAAAATTAAGTCTTTTAACAACCGTAGCTATATCATTCCTATCACTTTTGCCATTCTTCTCTTTATCTATAGTCTTATGTTGATGGTGTTCTTCATCTTTTTCACTCTTATGTTTTTTTATAGGACTAAAAATTAACGGAGACTCGTCACTTGAGTCTTTTCTTTTACTATTTTCTCCGCTACCTGAGCCAGACTCTTTTATTGATGTTTCAAATACTTGGTCTTTAATTTCATTTTTATTTAAGTTACTCGAAAGAATATGATTATCATCTTTTTGTTTACCAGATTTATTACCTTTTCTAACTTTAGCCTCAGCAGATAATCGTTTATACACAAGCATATAAGCAGTACTTGATGAAAGACAGCCTTTAAGAACTCTTCCTTTTTTTAATGGTTTCCCGTTATCATTTGTTCCATCTTCGATTCGCTTATTTTGCATTTTTTCAACTTTATCATCACTAAACTGATACCACTCTCCTTCAGAATTGCAAATATTGACAATATAATGTCCTGAATGAGCTGAAGGTCCCTTATGACTTAAAACTGCTACTAAACTATATAAATGTGTTTGACTTGGACATTTTAAGTACTCTGACATGTCCAGTTCTTCTGGAAATTGAATTGATGATGTTAATTTTTTCTTCTGAGCTGATTCTCTATGAAATACAAATCTCAATAGTTGAAAATTTAACGTATCTGGCAGTGTTTCTAATCTAATGAATCTTTTAGCATCTCTTTTTTCATTACAGTTTTGACAATGATACCTATTTGCTCCCACCAATTCTTCTTCACTTAAATATTTTTCTATAGCATTTTTCAATGTAGAAGCTAATTGAAGATCTAATTCGTAAAATGTCGTTGATGTCTTATATTCTGTTGAACACGTTGAACATCGATTAACGTAAATATATGTTCCCTGAGTTAATTGCTGGAGCATCAATTTTAAAGTAAGGTTTTGTTGGAGTTTGCCTTCTATGTGAGCTAATAAAAGTTTAGAAAATTCTTGAGCATCTTGCTGAGTTCCTGTGTCTAATGATAAAGCTATTGCTAAATTGGTAGGATCTAGAAGTTGCCGATTACCGAACTGCATCATAGCAAAGATGTATTGTAATTGGCCTATTACTGTCACAGGTTGATAAGGCTGGTTTGTATCTTTAAAACGATGAAAACTCTCATTTTCTTCCGGATCTTCCATCATTTTCCATTTGTATATAATTCGCCTGCAAAAAAACCAATTATAAAACGTTCTCATAAAATGATTAGTAATATTTAAATATAATATATAAAATTATAGAACATTACCTCATGTCTTCATTATGAAACCAAACTTGAATTAAACTATTAACATAACAAGTAGCACCCAGATTTTTCAGGCCTACATATTGAGTTGGATCTCTGAGTTCTGAAAGAGAACTTTCAAGAGAAGCTACTTCGATTGGCTGTGATTTTAAATATTTTTCTTCGCCCAAGCCAACCAAACATCTTGGATTATAACTGCAATTTCTCCTGAAATTATATCAAAAAATAATGATTAGTAATCAATACATATACGTTTACTCTAGTTTACGGAACATTGTTTATTTGAAATATTTTTAATGCTACATCTACTTACTTGCAATGTTTACATATATTCAAATTGACTCTATATGAAGATTCTAAATGTTCTCTTTCAATACTTTCTGGTGAAACTGTTTCAACCCAGGACCATGCATCTTTATCAGCAACATCAGCTCTTTTCGGATATGGACGATTTGGCATTTTTTAACCTTTAGCAAATAATATTCGCAATAACATCGACTCCAGTGATACTATCTCATGTTAAACTCAAAGTTTGTTTCAATTAATCTATTTGTTGAAACTGAACTAACCTTTTCTTTAATTAATAAAAAATTGACTAATATTTAAAATCAAAATCAAATAAAGATCTGATGTTTATTGAGGTTAGAACTCAATTGTAAACACATTTGATTTCTTTCTCTTGAAATACATTAAAACAGCGAATAAGAACAACAAATTTTAACAGTTTATAAAGTTCAATAAATTCACAAAGTAAATTTTTGTATAACTTCGACGATTTCAAAGAAAATAATCACAGTACTTACTCAAGTATTCAGCACTAACCGCTACATAGTTAGTTTTGATACAGTCGGTATAATAATTTTCTTTATTTTCAAAAGTCGATAACAAACTAAGTTACTTTATCAAGTATCATATGAAAATGATATGTTGACAACAAAATTGTCAAACTCATTTTATTATCTCTAAAATAAATAAATTAAATACAATGTGCAAATGTATAATATACAAATAAATTATTCGTTCTAATGTCTCGATGTCAGATAGGTAAATAAATTGACTTACTCATATAAAAAATTTTAATTCATTGTTTACGATGAAATTTGGTGTAACAAAATTTTTTATTTACAGTAAGCATTGACATTCTTGCGGAATTTTTAGAAATAGCTTTTCATGGAATACTTTATATTAGAAATTTGTATCCACAGGAGATATTCACTAAAAAAAAAATATACAGTACTGGAATATTTATATCTGAACACCCCGAGATCAATGAATACATCAGAAATGTAATACAAACTATAAGAGAATTGTTATTACAAAGTGAAGAAAGTATTAAAAAAATAAATTTTGTTTTTCTTGATAAAGAAAAAAAACCGCTAGAAACATTTGTTTTTGATTTGTATAATTTTCGACTTGATGGCAGGGAGTAAGAACAATTATTGTATTTTTATTTTCTATAAAAGCTGATGATTTTTTCCACTCTTAAATATTATTCTGTTGAATTGACAGGAAAGATTCGTATTTTTTAAAAACAGAAATGGCTATGAGAGAATTTTATCTCAAATTGATGGCATCGCCAAATTATTTAAAAAAATTACCAGAAGATTCTTCATTCATAATAGAAATAGAAACACATGAAGCAGCTCATATTGGACTCAGTGAAAATGAGAAATGTCAAGAATTTCCTTGGCTCATAAAAGAACTTAGTGATAATAGCAACAATACCACAGCTAATTTATTATTACCTCTTTCTACATTTAAGACTGAATATTTAGGATTACAAGTATTTGTAGTAACATCTGATAATCAACGATGAACTTTTATATTTACAAAATTGCTTTTGTGAGTATGTAAACAATGGTACCAAAAAATAAAAAAATTAAATTTATTTTGTTATATCAATATTATCTTTTTTTTAAGGAATTAAATTTTCTGCAATTACTTTTTAGTAAAATTTTCCTGCACTAGAGTGCTATAAAATACATACATATATCTGTACTTAACTTCTCCGCGTGGATAACCTAAAAAATAAGTTAAACATTATTGACAGATTTTGTTGCAAGAATTAAATTTTTTAGCAATTACATTAATGTCTAACAACTTGTCAGTAACATGGAATATTTTGAAGTGAGTTTTTCTACATTAATTTATTTTTGAATACCATTCAAAATATAAATAAATATAACTATTAATATGATTTATATCATATTTTCTGAAGAAGATAGATTTTACAACTAAATTTATTTTGACAGAATCCTGAAAACAAACCTCTAGAAAAGGTCGAACTTGTCATCTACGAAAATGAAATTCCTAAAATTGTTCCAGCTTTGGTATATTTTTATTTAAGATAAAAATTTTTTTGCAGCTGTCAAAAAATTGTCATACTAATAAATACATTTCTTTGAATTTAGTCTAAATATCATGTTGAAAAACGTCATTTTATGCGTTATTCAAAACCTCGAATCTATCACAAAGATGGAACCGAAATTATTGGTGCTAAAGATATGTGGTTAGAAATGATCAACTATGTTATTCAAGATTATGAATGGTTACTAAAGTTGCCGTTTTATAAGTAATTTTTTCTTAATTTGTGATACTCTCTTTAAAAAATTGAAACATTCTTTAATAGTTTAAATGTTTTCTTTTTAGATTCTGGTCAAATATTGTATTTTATTATTCATACATTGATTCTTTGAAAGTAGTCCTCCAAGAATCACCAAGGTTTCATGAATTAAAAGATTTTCCTGATGATGAAGAAATGAAAGAAAGGCTGTATACTCTTCACAAAAAAGTTATAAACATCTTTTTCCGAATTGTAACAAATAAAAAAAATGCCAGTGAATTTATAAGTAATGAGTATCATGGTTATTTGATCTATGAGAATTTTTTAATAACAGTACCAGTAATGATCCAACTCGCTCAATTATTTGGACGAGAAAATGAAAAAATTATTCACAAAATCATAAAGAAAGCAGTTAAATATCAACCACGATATCAAGATGATTTTAAGGAATTGGTCAGATTTTCTTGTCAAATTTTAGGAGAAATGGAAGAAAAATTACTTAACAATCCAAATACTAGAGTTCATAATGAAGAAAAGGGTGTTTTATATATTTCAAACGTAGATAAAAAATCGTCTTCAAGTGAAATAAACTGTGACGAGATTGAAGATATGATCATATATTTAATGGATTTTACGTCTAGTGTAGAAATTTTTATAACTGTTTACCCACCGGTAGTAGAGTATTTTTCCAGTGATTATTTTTTGATGAAAATCATATCAATTTATGAAAATGTGTTGCCAGAACTTTATCGAAGGCTTGAAAAATTGATAAACAAGAATACAAACAAGGAAAAATATCAAGAGATGACAGAATACTTAAAAATAACTAGATTAGAAATAATTAAAATATTTAGAGCAATCACTTTCCGAGGTATTGCTTCAATTTTACGACAGCCGTGAGTAATTATTACTTTTTTATTGATTATTACTAATTGATAAATTAGTAATTTCTTCCATATTTATTGAAGTATGTAAATTTTGAGCTAATAATTGTATTGTTATTTCAGAGATATTACAGAAGCTCCAAATGTGAAGGAAAGTGTCGATCAATTTCTGAATTATTTAACGAGTGCAGTGTCCGATAAACACTTGATGATAGATTACAATCAAATATATCCAATAAGTGATGATTTGGAGTTGATTCATCAAATTACTTCGGATGTGTATCCTTTGTTACTCGTTGATAAGATTTTTAATCTCATCATAAGTTAATGGCTTATTAAATTATGCTCTTATTTTACTACAATTGATTCCTTAATTATTCTATCTGATTTATTTATTTGAATAGTGACCAAATCAAAGTATCATTTCTAAAGCGTTTAGTTACGGAGTTACTTATAAATTACGCTCCAAAAGCATCAAATAATGTAGTTAATAATACCCATGTAAGAATTGTTTGTTATTCATTTGTACGTTCATTCTCACATATCTTTTGAATTATTTTTTTCCGTAGAATTCATTGCAACCAGTAGCTGGACCTAGTGGCGTTCAAAATTCAACTAGTACATCAACAACGATAAATTCAACGAATATCTCTGAAGTAGAACTCAAAAGTCTTATTTATAGCATAAAAGATGTTATGTATGAATTAGGAGAAGGTTTTATACAGGTATTTGACAATTAATTATTTTAGATGAATTTTATAGTTTAATTAATTGATTCTTTGATATTTTTTTTCTTCAGAAATGTTTACAACATTACAATTATAATACCGAAAGTGTAATCAATGCTATTTTAGAAGACACTTTACCTCCAGAAATAAAGAAATTAGATAGGAATTTACCTTATATTTCTTTAGAAACTGAGACAATACCGATGAATTTAACAAAGGACATGGAAGGCTTAAGTATCAGTAATAATAATCAAACAACTGAAGATGGAAAACAAAAATTAAATAATGAAGATGAAATTGTTGAAGTTTTCCGTGGAAAGCGGTATGTCACATTTTCCATGACAAATATTTGGGTAAATTATTTGTAATTTATTTTTCTACTGAGTCTATATATTTTTTGAACAGGAAAAGCAAATACAAAAATCTTAACGATATGTTGAATGACAAGTCATTTAAAAATAAAGTTGTAGAAACTTATTCAAAATACAGTCTTGTTGAAGGATACGATGATGAGTATGATGATACATATGACAGTCTAAATGATAATGTTATTCTTCTGAATGATAATCCAGATATTGATAAACCCTTCACAATTCCAAGAGTTAGTATTAGGCAGAAGATACATATGATAAATATAATACTGGTTTTTTAAATATTGAGCGAAGTACTTATAAATGAATTTATTTCAGGTCCTCCGAACTAATGAAAGAATAGAAGAAAATGATGAGGAATCTGAAAACGAAGAAGAACCTACTACGTCCAATGCTTCAAATAATAGGGATAACTTTGTTCAAGATCCAGCAGTATTAAGAGCTCGAGCTGAACAAAGAAGACTATCACATCAAGATAGGGGTAGAAAGAAAAAAACTGGAGATGTTGTAGGTAACCCTAAGGGTCAAGGGAATGATAAAGAAGTGTTAATAAATCGTGATAGAAAAAATACAAACAAATCATCACAAGCTAACCATAATCGACGATCCGGAGCTGAATGGAAACGTCGTCAAGGAATGGTTCCGTCTTGAAAATTCGTTATACAATTTATTATACGAATGATTAAAATGTCAATAAACATCAGTATTTCTTAACGTAAAATTAAGAATTTTGAGGAGTTAAAAATAGCATTTGATAAGAAATTATTTATATTTAAATATACCATAAATATCATACAATAAAAAACAGGATGAAATATCAATCAGTGAATAATAATTTTATAAATTTACAACAATTTAATAATTAATTCTTATTTATATTCAGCTGGAAAAGCATTTAATGACCTTTAACAATAGTCAAATATTTGATTTTATTCATTTGTTCTGTTATTGACGAGTCGCCTTCATCTTCTACAGAAATATTATTTGGCGACATTAGATCATTGAATAGTTTCATCTTTTCACCATAGTAATCTAATTGAATCATAATCAAAGCATAAACACTGGGTTTAATGTATTCAAGTCTCTTTTCTAAAAACCATGGTAATTCCAGAAGTAGTTTTGAATGAACTGCTTTTAATTCTTTCGCAGCTGCTTCTTCTGCTCTTTTTTCTTTTTCCAGCCTAACTATGTGACTTGCAGTCCTATCTTTTTTTTCTTGGAGCTTTTTTACTTTATTATGAGCTAATTTCCAAGTACTTACAAGCTCTTCACGTTTAGCTAATGCTTCTGCCACAAGAGCAAATTTATCACGAAGTTTCTTTAAAGGTTCAATGAAAGTTTTTTGGGATAAAATAGTCATGTCTTGTACTGTTTTGCCCACTTGAGTTGTAATCGAATGATAATCTTCAACGATTCTGCGAAATTCATCATTTATATGGGCCAAACCACAGGTACTTAAATTTGTTGATAATTTTTTATCAGCTCGATCTAAATTTGCTATAGCTTCAAGATAGCGCTTAGTTTCTTTTGTTAACTTTCTTATTGTTTCTTCAACACTATTTAAAAAATAATTAAATAAACAAGTTAATTTTGAAAATATTTTTAACGGCTATAGGTGCTGTTTTATGTCATATTTACTAACTGTATCAAACGTTGAACAGCTATATCAAGTTCTTTATCCTCAGATATTGATAATAAAGGCTGAGCAGGTGTTGGTCGGTGTGTTAAATGATTTTTCCTTCTAGGATTCCTATAGAAAAGAAAATTGTAGGTTATAATAAAACTAAATAAAGTTACAATATGATAGAATAATATATTGACAATCATAGTGATTTAAAAAAAATTATATTATAGTAGTTTCAATAATTGTAATTTAATATATATATATATTTACCAAGTCATTTTGAAAGTAATAATTTAATTACATATTATATTATTTTCAAAATATAAATCTTTTTGAGCTTTCTTCTTCAATTGTATGTTGATAATTGAACCATCTACAATTTTTGAAAAGATGTCACAGAGGTCGTTTATAAATTAAATGTGTATCTAAATTTAAAATTGTCTGGCCAATTAATCAAAGTCTTATCTCTTTATCGATGATAAAAAAAAGATAATGATTATAAACATTTTACCTTTAAGTTCCATTTATCATCTATATGAAGATATACATGTATACTGTTGTATATTGTTTTATTTTAAAGGAAAATTAATAAACAGAATTTCAAAACTCATATAATATTTAAAGAATAGGTGTCGAAAAAATGTAAAAATTCTTTTTAAAAAATTTAGGATTGAAGTTCAATATAAAAAAATTATCTGTACAGTCGATAATTGTTTATGTATTGTACATTCAATCAGGCATCAAAGACTGAGTGTGAATACATAAAAAGTTTTTTTATGAAAAAAGTTATCCAGCAGAGGTCAGGAATGTCAAGAAATTGTAGTTGAATCTTTTATTAGTCAATGAAGAACAGCTGGAACTCAATTTGTGAGTATTCATTGCAATTCTATGATAACTAATATCATTTCTCTGTCATTCGTCAAATAACTTTATTAATTTTCATACTACATTAAAAAATATTTCATACAAATTATTCGTTCATATATTTAATCACCAAAGTATACAATTTTAACCTCCAACAGAAAGCACGTGTTAAAATGTAGACCTAAAAATAATTTATAAAAAATGTTTGATCTTATTTAGAGGATAGCCGTAATGACTCAATTAACTGCAGAAGAAAAGCATCATTTGATAACCCGTAATCTTGCGGAGTGGCTTGGTGATGAGAAATTAAAGTCAATTTTAAAAGATCGAGATTTAAAGCTTTACTGGGGAACAGCAACTACTGGAAAACCACATATTGGATATTTTACTCCAGTATCAAAAATTGCTGATTTTTTAAAAGCCGGCGTTGAAGTAACCATTTTATTTGCTGATCTTCATGCTTATTTAGATAATATGAAAGCTCCTTGGGATCTTTTAGCTCTCCGAACTCAATATTATGAAGCGGTTATTAAATCAATGTTGAAATCCATTGGAGTTCCTTTAGATAAACTCAAATTTGTTAAAGGAACTGATTATCAGTTGTCCAAGTAAGTAATCAGTTATAAAATCTTTCATTTAAAAAAAATGTAATAATTACATCATTGCATTACGGTGATTTTACTCAATTTTCGTCTTGTTTTCAGAGAGTATACTCTTGATGTTTACCGATTATCATCTGTAATTACTGAACACGATGCTAAAAAAGCTGGAGCTGAAGTTGTAAAGCAAGTTGCGAATCCATTACTGTCAGGATTGTTATATCCAGGTCTGCAAGCATTAGATGAGCAATATCTTGGTGTAGATGCTCAATTTGGAGGAGTTGATCAGAGAAAAATATTCACTTTTGCTGAAAAATATCTTCCAATGTTAGGATTTGAAAAAAGAATTCATTTAATGAATCCAATGAGTAAGTGACTTTGTCATTTAAAATAGAAATTTGCGTATGTATCTAAAATATGGCATTGTAAAATAATATGAAATCTCATTTATTCATTAGTTCCTGGATTAGCTGGAGCTAAAATGTCATCGTCAGAAGAGGATTCAAAAATAGATTTATTAGATAATGCAAGTGCAGTAAAAAAGAAGTTGAAAAAAGCTTTTTGTGAACCAGGGAATATTGTAGATAATGGAATTCTTGCATTCTCTAAACATGTTATCTTTCCTCTGATGAAAGCTGATGAGAAATATTTAGTCCCAAGACCAGCTGAATTCGGTAATTTTTTTATGAACTCTATTAAAAAATTATAAACCATGTAAGTGCTATTTATATTACTTATTACATCGTGTTACTTTTGATTATAGGAGGTGATATTTATTTTGAAAAATATGAAGATTTAGAGGCATCATTTGCTAAAGAAGAAATTCACCCTGGTGATTTGAAGGCTGCTGTAGAATATTATATTAATAGACTGCTGGATCCAATTAGAAAGGAATTCGAATCAGATTCTAATTTGAAGAGTTTAAGTAATAAAGCTTATCCTCCTCCAGGAAAAGAGAAAAAACAAAGTAAATATATTTATCTCTGTAAAAAATTAATATTTTTATTGCAATGAGTATTAATTTATTTTTATATGGTATTAGATAAACAAAATATTCCAGCTAATACAAATGAGGCGGACCCATCAAGATTGGATATTCGAGTAGGAAAAATTGTTGAAGTTTCTAAACATCCTGACGCAGATTCTTTATATATAGAGAAAATTGATCTTGGTGAACCCTCTGGGCCACGAACAATAGTTAGTGGTTTAGTAAATTTTGTTCCCATCGAAGAAATGCAGAATAGAATGGTAGTTATTTTAGCTAATTTAAAGCCAGCAAATCTTCGAGGAGTTGCTTCTCATGGAATGGTACTATGCGCTTCTGTGTGAGTATGCAATACAATTTTGGTACAAGCATTTTTTTTTATAAATTATTCTAAAATTATTTTTTGGTGGTTCAGTGATGGAGATGTAAGAAAGGTTGAACCTTTACGACCTCCAGCAGATGCAGCACCTGGTGACAAAGTTAGTATCGAAGGCTATGAGAATGGAACACCAGACGAGGTTTTAAATCCCAAAAAGAAAGTTTGGGAAAAACTTTCAGTTGATTTAATTGTTAATTCTGATGGAGAAGCATCATGGAATGGAAATTTATTGTTTACTTCATCTAAAGGAAAATTGACAGCAGATACTCTTAAAAATGTACCAATTAAATAATGAGCTAATGCTTGATAATTAATTTATACTTAATAGTTATCGTTAAAGCTTTTTCTAATTGTCTTAAAATAAATGAATTGCACTTAACTAAAAAAATTTATAGTAATCAAATAATTTCAGACTTAAAATTACATTTATTAAATATTTAAATGATACATAGCTTAGTGATCAATAATGATTAACTCATCAATTCCCCAATCTTCATAACTATTATCAGGTAAATATCTTCTAATGACTATTGGAATTTTTCTCTGTTTGAGTTCTTTCATAGCTATTTGAAGTGGATCGGTTTCTCCTTCTAATTCAACCATTACTGGTGCACACATAGCTATTTGCAAAGCCCTAGTCCCAAGAACTCGTGCTCTTTCATATCTATAAGACGTAAATTAATATGTTAAGTTTAATTCTTTTCACTAACTCTACTATCTTAATGTTTTTTTTAAAAAAATAAAAAATTACTTGGTCATATATTTTGTAGTGATTCGCTTGCTTTTTTGGACGCCTCCAGAAGCTTCTCCGGCCGCCACAAGTTCAAAAGTTTCTCCATCCTCTTCTTGAGTTTCTAATTCATTCAAGTTATCATCATCAGCATCATCAAACTCATCTGCTACACTGTAATTTTTTTAAGTATAAAATAATTTAATTATTCACGTAAAATATTGTTATTATTTAATGTTATTTATCGAATTACTTTTTAAGGTTAGAATAGTTGGTACTTACTCATCTCCATCAAAATCATCATCTGCCATGGTTATTTATTAATAAATGGAGTAGTTGTATTAACTTTTGAACGTAATAATTTGATTAAAAATTGATAGATTTTAATCTTAAAAAAATTTTATTACAAAAAGTGAACTAACAAATTTTGTTTTGAAGTTTACCTATTGACTTGTTCTTATTTGACTCACACTCTTTTCTGACACTATTTACCATGTGTTGGTAGCCATTTATATATGTTGACACAAACTATAGTTTATGGGAGACAACCAATAACATCAACGGAAAAATCGCGGTTGTTTGAAAAAGATCATGTATTAATCTGAATACACTAATCTTATCATATGAAAATTCAAATATCCTTAAAAGGGTTTAATAGCAGTCTTAAAAAAAAATATATAAATAAATTCATCAAGAAGTGTATTTTAGAGTCATAAAATTATTGTGACTATTTCATTTTGAAACAGCCTCGCAAAAATGGCTATTATTGCTCATGCGCAAATTTTGTTCAAGTTTATTCTCTACTAAAAGTCAACATGAAAATAAATAAATTTTGTGAATTAAAATATTCTTAAGTTAACAATTTTTGTCTTCATTAATTAATTTTTTTAATTTACATTTGGATACTTTAATAAATGTAAAGTTAAAAAACAATACATGTACGATAATACATTAGATTTATTGTCATCAAGAATTTAATCTTAGGTTATGATGAAGTTATTTCAATTATTTACTATTTTTATATTTTGTTTTGGTGAGAAAAAATAGATATTAATAAACTTATGTAAAATGATTATTAAATTTTTATTTCATTGTTAAAAAAATTTTTTACAGTGTTAGTTGCTCCAGTACCTGGAAAAACTAATGAATCAACAACAGTTCTTCAAGAAGAAAGTGATTCTGCATTCACAGTTACTCCAAAATCTGAAGAAATTGTTGAATCAACAAAAATTTCTGAAGCATCCAGTAATTCTATCGCTCTTATTGATACTAATGACGTTGTATCCCAAAACAATGTAAATAATGAATTATTGTCAAAGAACAATGACGATACAAAAGAAACCTCAGTAGGAAACAATAATAGTACAGAAATAAAAACAAATGCAACGTTATCTTCACCTAATCGATCAGATGCTGCATATAAAATTTATCGCAATTGTCTTACTGACAAAGTTTATGGCATTGTTGAGGTAGTATATTATTTGTTATAAAATTAATGTAAAAGTATAAAATTTAATTTTTTATATATACGATAATGCGTTGAACAGATAGTGAATGCTACAAGACTCATGGAACTTTTGATAATTGATCCAAGTTCAACAGTCAAGACAGAAAATAAAAAAGATACTAAAATTAGCCCAAGAACTTGTCTTTTAGTTTTATTTTACTCTCGATGGTGTGTCTTTAGTAGTCATGCAGCTCCGCATTTTAATGCATTACCAAGATATTTTCCTCACATTAAAATAGTTGCTATAGATGCTTCCAAATATCAGAAGTAATTTTTTCTCAAATTTGATTAATCTAGAAAATAATTGTTACTATTTTCAATTAATTTAATACTATTATTTTTTTTTAGCTTCAACACTCAGTTTGGAATTGTTGGAGTTCCCACATTAATGTTTGTTTATAATGGAAAACCTTTAGTCAAATTCAACGACACCTCTTACACTTTGGAATCTTTTGCTCGATTTGTAACAGAATATACAGCTCTAAAACCGAATGGATCACTCTATGTTACATCTGCTGATTTTAGTGGACCAGTTCCAAGTACTCCTTCAAATGAAACTGATTATTGTTTAGTTTTATCATGGGTTTTCATTGCTGCCTGTGCAATCTATTTTACTCTTCAGTCTCAATGGTGGAAACAATTTGTTGAATTAATTCAAAATACTTGGAGAGAAAGTAACGCACAACATGAACATACTGACTAGATAATTATTTATTTATTGTTAATTAAAAAATATTTAAAATTACATAAACTAAATTGAAATATTCTTGTTGATATGATATATGAGAAAAACTTTTTGTTTTGTAACTTAATAATAAATCTAGAAAACTAAATAAATATGAACATGTTTTTAACATACACTAATTTTATTCATTTTCTAAAAAATTACAATTTTTGAATATAAATAGTATTTTGTAAAATTTCAAATGTGTAGCTCTAAAAAGTCGCCTTAAAATTTAGTTAACCAATAAGGAATGTTCGAATAGCGCGGGGTTTTTGCGTCGTACGTTGAAATGGCGGCGTAAAAAATAGTACGAGCAACGCCGCGTCGTTCGCGTATGTTTTTCGACTGTCTCTATCAACTTCCAGACGTTTATTGTGCAAATGGTCGATCATTTGATGAAACCTAATATTTTTAATACAGCCGTTACTATATCATATACTAATAGCTATTCTAGAACAGTAGATGATTAACGTTTATAAAGATTCACTTAGTTGTATTTGTACCGATTTGGGTTTATAATGGTGAAGTTAAAGAAAAAGTTTGAAGTAGGGAACAAAGTATTTGCAAAGGTTCGAGGTTATCCACCTTGGCCAGCTAGAGTAAGTTTATTAATAAATATATTGTTTTCTTATAGAATTGATCTATGATATCTAATCTCAGATAATAGTTGATCAAATATTGAATTTTTAATAAATCAATCACTATTAAAATACATTTTTTTGATAAAACTTATGTCACAAAAGAGGTTTTAATGGTTGGCTATTAATCTCTTTATTTTTTATGACGATAATATAATAATTTCATAGAAATCAGATCCTAAATAAATAAATATTTTAGGTTGAAGATATTTCAGAATCTAATCCCAAGGGAGCTAAATACAAGGTCTTTTTTTATGGAACCAGTGAAACGTATGATTTCATTTTATATCCATTTTATCGGTATTTTAAGTGATTATTTATATTACCATCAATGTTCGATCGTTTGTTTACGTTACAGAGCTGTATGTAAAGTTGACGAATTATTCGATTACCATGAAAATAAAGAAAAATTTGGAAAACCTATCAAGAGAAAAATGTTTCATGAAGGAATTCAGCAACTAGAACAAGAATTAGATAACGATGCTGGAAAATCTTCATCAATAACAGAAAGTAGAGGTATATTTTTAAATGCAATACATTTATATTGGTTGTTCCAAATTCCTTTGATATTAATTATTAGATTCAGAATCTGTTATAGACGAATCTGAATCAGAGAATCCATCGGTGCCGACAGAACCTTCTTCAGGAGTTACTTTAGACAGTGACATAGAAACTGGTCCATTAATAATAGACGAAGGGAATAAAAAAAAACCTTTAAAACGAAAATCTTTAGTCACTACTGCTTTAATTTCTGTGAGTAAATGATTTCATTTTAATAATATCTATAATGGGATTATTCATTTTCAAGAATATTCAAGTACATATTACTTGATTTGAAAAATCCCTATATAAAATTTAAGGAATGGCCAAGAAATTAATATTAAGATTAATTAGGTTTTGCGATTATTCCTGACAACAATTTACGATAAATATAAATTAATTATTTTAAAAAGAATTAAGCTAGAATATACAGATATAATAACATCATTACTATAATAGGACGCAGTGGAAATAAAGAAAAAACGTGGACGAGGTAAATCTTTACCTGCAACAATGATAGAAGCCGGTAACGATTCACAAGGTGAAGAAACTGTTGGAAAAGAAGTTGTTAGTCGCAGTGGGAGAAAAATTAAACCTAAAAGATTTGCTGATTTTTCAGCAGATGATGAATATGAATTAGGTAATACTCAATTTGTTTTTACTGTAATGACTTTCATAATTTTAAAGAAAAACTTATCAGACGAGTCTTAAATATATTTGATTATATAAATCTATTTTTTATAATTTGCAATAGAAACTACTGGAAGGAATAGAGGGAAAAGTAAGCATGAAGAATCCAATGAAACAGCTCCAACACCATCAGGAAGGAAAAAAGCTAGTATAGAACGTAAGCATGAAAGTATTCATTTTGATTATTCATCATTCATAATAATAACATTTAGTTATAATTACAGAAGAGGATAAAAAAATGATGAATAAAGATAGCGCCAATCAAAAATTTAAAATTAAATGGCTTCGTACAGAATCGCAGCTTTTAACTTTGGATGGTCAGATTAAATCGAATCTGAGTTTAGATCAAGCAGACACTGACAAATGTTTACAAGCGATGGATGAAATGTTAGGTTTACAAATTGATCCCTTAACGCTCAAAAAACATCCCCATACCGTGAAAACGGTAAAAATGGTAATTTATTGATATATTAATTTTATAAATTATTGAATTAAACTAAAGAATTTTTAATGATAACATTTTCTTTTAAACTGCAGTTGAGAAGATATATTGGCAACTTAGCAGAGTGGAAGCTTTCTGAAGAAGAAGTAATAGTCTTTAAACAAAAGGCTGAACAAATTAGGCAGAAAGCTGAACACATATACAACAAATTTAGAGCTTTATTTACAATTCCTGAAGACCAATCATTTTGGCAATCTTTTTCTGATCAGGTGGATCACTTTAAAGAAGCCACTAAAAATATGTCTGAAGAAAAAATATTTGCACTTATGTCAGATCCAACATGTTCAGGTAAATATTTTCGTTAATTTGTTATTGATGAATTAATTTTTTTTTAATTTAATAATGCAAAAAAATTAATTTTAAAATGATCATTTAATTGATAAAGAAACAAAAATTTTTATCATGGAATTTATTTCATCATGATCATTAATTTTTTTTGTTGAGTTCTTTATAAATTTTTCTTTTTATAGAATCTACAACCGTTAACGATGCTTTGTCTGGAGATGAAATGACAGCACAAGGAGAAATGAGTACTGGAGAACAAGATCAACTCACAAAAGATGCAGTTAATGAGTCAGCAACTTTAGTATCCAAGTAACATTCATTATTTTAATTTTATTGTTTATTATAATTTTCAAAGACATTCTTTACCGTTACCAAACATTGCCTAATTATTAAACAAGGAGATAACTTAAAGTTACATGCAAGTTAAAGGTAACATATTCGAGATTTTTTTTGTTTTCATATAAAATTTTGTTAAACTATTTTTTTATTATACAATTTGTTTTTAATATTTTCATCATTTATTTTGACAAGAGTTCGAGGAGCTGACAAATTACTTATGATTCAGCACAAAAAGTAATAATCATATAAAAAAATCAATAAATTTTGTATGATTGATCCAAAACATAACTTTATGAATGATTTGAAAAATGAAGCAAATAATAATTCCCTTTAAATAAGAACATAATAAAATATTAATTTACGAGTGTCGCCTCAATATTTAATTAATAGAGTAGCTTTCAGTAGTTTGTGTTGTCCATGAATAATAATTACAATATAAATAATTTTTAAAATAATCATAAAACCATGAATGATTATATTTAAATATTTTTTAATTTTTTGTTCTTATATATGAATTAAAATTTAAAATAATTTTTCAATATCATATCTATCATTAAACATACATTATATTGAATTAAGCAATATTTGACGAAAATATTTTTACTAATTATTTTTTTATACAGTCATTTCTAGTGATATGTAATTTTAGATAATCAGCATAAAAAGTTGATTATTTGAATTTTAGTAACTTTGTGTAAATATTATATTACTCTTCATTTTCTATATCAGACAGCATGATAAAAAGAATTCAAGATTTTTCAATTTATTAAAGAAAATAAGTAACAAATAAATGCCGCCTTAATATTTTCGATTTAACGTCAGTTGATGATAAAAGATAAAAATAACTATTGAAATTCTCAAATGATAAAAATGTTTGAATCATAATTGAGAATTAATTCTGCTGTTATACTTTTATAAAATGCTTATAGCAACAATGAAAAAAAAGAAAAATGAAAACACAAGAACAATTGTAATAAATTTCCTTATATTTTTGGTATAAAAAACATAAAATTACATGGTATTTATAAGAGTGATTCTTGATTAAGTGTCATGATGTTGTAATATCACCAGATAATCATCACTAAACTTTAATAAATAGTTTAAAAAATTTACAATGGATTTGAAGTATCTTAAATGCACAATAGATCACTGTAAATTATTTATTTCAAACAACTGTTTAAATGAACTATGAAATGTTAACAATTCATCATACTTATGATCATCTATAAAATAATGTTTTTATTTATTAAAATTTTTCTTTCAGTGATCGAGTAGTACTACATCTTAATGTTTGCCTGTGTGCATGTAAAAGTGATAGGAAATCATGCAAACATGATAAAAAGTCAAAGCAAAATAATGTAAGGGTACCCGCGAGATAGATCTAAGAAGCTTTTAAGAGTGTTGGTGGTCCATGTAGAGAAGATTCGATCTCCCCTATGCGACAATGCATCGCATATGTTGGCCGTATCATAGCTCGAGCAACAAGCATGTTTATTCCCTCGACGTATCTTCACCCCCCTTATATACCTACCTCGTCATGTTTTCTCCTTTCTAGACTATGCGTTTTACTCTTTCCTCCTCCATCTTTTCCATTGCCGCCCCTGGGGTTTATATATCCCTTATTCATAATCCCAATTCAATGCGCTTTGCGAGCTTTTAAGATTTTAGATTCTCTTCTGCTGCCCCGTGAATTCTAATCATGGATAGCTACTCATAAAATCGTATAGGAAGTACATCTTATTTTTACTTGGATTCATGTACACTGAAATATTTTATTTCCCACTCTGATCGAAATTATATTTATTTGGAGCATTGGATGATGTGTGTCGTGAAGAAAAGTTAAAATAAAATTTCTAAACAATTTTTTCCGTTCATGAACTTTTTATTCGTTTGAATTTTAACGATAACTTTTTAGGTGCTATGTTTGTAATGTGATCAACACTATTTTTTGTTTTAACAGAATAGATTAAATTTTTAATTGATGAACAATTTCAAATTAGTCATGTTTCCCAGAACATCTTAAAATTTATTTATATTATATTTACATAAAATTAGAATAAATAAATATGACATATCATTTGGTGACAGCGTAGAAGATTTTCAATACTAATTCGATTTCTATTAATAGTAAATAAAATTTTGGTCTGAAAAATCAAGCAAATATCATTTAAAAGTTGCTTCACTTTTCTCTTCAATTTATTTCTTTTCACTTTAACTTTAATATTCATATTTATTGATTCGATCATAAACATACTATTCCATTGTGTGTTTTTTCAGTCAATAAAGAAACTTCTGATTCTTATATAAATTTACTTTAAATAATGTGACTGAAATGAGATAAAAGTGCAACAATTTTCAAGTCTATTCGCCCTTCATTTTTATGAGGGACGACGGAGCACCGATCGTGGTCTGACGTTCATGTTATAATACGTACTTTCAAGCAAAAATGTCACCTTAGGGAACAGCATCGTGTCCTAAGATGCATATAAATTCCAATATTTCGTTTTCAAGTGTGATTTTATACGCGTTCTTTTTCTCTGCGAGGATATAACACAAGAAGATGACGTGAAAGAAGGAAAGCCAGTGATAGAAAAGTGAAAAAAAGAAAAAGACACAACTTGCTCTCGACTCTTGTATCGGTGCTAGCTCGTAAATATTATGGGGGTCGATATAACCGCCTGGGATTTGAGATCTCTGGGGAATGACGAAGAGAAAAGATATTTTTTCAAGTGTATGTGTACTGTGTATGTTTATTGCTTATTTTTTTTTCACATGTACACATTTTTTTTTACTAGTTAAAAGCACTCTGCTTACGCAGTTTATGTTTATTGGATTAAAATCCTTTTAAATGTTCCGAATTATCAGCTTAAATTCAATTTATTTGAAAATTTTAGTCACAAAATTATATTTTACAAAAGAAGATTATTGTTAATATATATTGAAAAAAACCATGAATAGTCATATACAAAAATTTTTAAATAAAAAATAATGCTTTTCATGATTTACAATAATACATTCTAGTTATCAAAAATTATTCAATTAAAAAAAAAACATAACAATCTGATGTGTTTCAATATAAAAATTATTTGATTTTTATAATTTCCATTTCTAAAAACTAGCATTTTTGAATTAGACATATACTATTAACATGGTATATATTTTTTTATTTCAGTAAGTGGTCTTGGTGATTAAAAATGATCATTTAGTTATTATGTATATAAATAATAATCATAATTAAATAAGAACAATAATGGATATGTTTATTAAAAAAAAAATTTCTCAATAACTTATCTATTATTTCTAAATCATCAGACATAATTTCTTACAAATGATGCTATATAACATAATGCATGTCATTTGATGAAAAAAATCCTGGAGAGATAAATCATATAAAAAAATAGCACGATGATTTTCTATCGTAACATTTGTTTATCCCCCGATCTCATTAGCTGGAGGTTCAATACATGCACTGTGAACATAAGTGCAAGCGATAATAATCCATACAAACAAGCGCAAACGAGCGTTTGAGCGATATAAGATAGTTTGGCATTGTCAGAACTGAGTACAGGGGCGGTCCCTGTTGTCATAACCGGCAAAAAAGCTGAGCAAAGGGGACAGAAAGTTCAAGAGAATCTGCGGGACCTGTGGGAGCACATCCCCCTATCTATATTCATTGGAACATGCAGTCAGCATTGAACAAGTCTGAACGATTTTTCCCCTTCGATCTCCAACGCTGAAACTCATGGAGCATCCTGCAGTTCCCCTTGGGGCACTCACGGGGGCTCATCTGCCGACAAAAGAGCATCTGCGCATCTATCTATGCCTGCAAGAGATAGGCTGATTTACTTAACGTGGTATCGTTGGATTACTCAACGCGATCCGATCTACCACCGATTGATGATTCTTTGCCCGATGCCACAACTTGTTCGCGCCACTATATTCTATAATATAACTACAGAAGAACAGGGTAGTCTGTCAAGCATACAGTTCAGCGTGAATTCATTATACGGCTAATATAAACATATTGCCTTGATGGTGGCACAGGGCCAGATCCTGTCAATCACTTTATCAGCTTTAGGGGTTTTTTCCTGGTCCTCGACTCTCTTGCCCTATACGACTTTTTGATACTCTAGAGTCTTAATACCAGATATTCACAATCACTGTCCGACAACAAGCATCATTAGTTTCAAATTAAAATATTGAAAGACATCAATCAATTTTATTCTTTTTTAATTAAAATAAATTTCTGAAAAATAGTCACAAAGATTTTCAAATAACTTTTTTTCAGATTTTGTAAAGTTTTCAGACCATGTACTTATTTTTTTTCTTCAGTCATTCTTTTTATCCGTAATCCTATACTTGGCAACGACTGAAAGTCCACCGTCGTGTCACCACTTTAAATTCCAGTACTTTATGTAAAGTGTATATGGAGTACCACAAAACCGTAACAATAAACAAGGTATGTTGTTACAATAAATATAAAAATGAATTAATTATGTCGTGATAATCTTAAAAATGAAAATTTTGCAGGTATAAAAATCATCGACGCAGCTCAATGAAAACCTGAAAATATGGAAGAATAAACATTGACTGAATGAGAGGATAAGTACATCCGGAGTCTATGGTTGGAAGCTGAGCTTTCATCTGTATACTGCGCAGTATGTCCTCCATTTTGTCTTAGCGCTGCGCAGCGCGTTGCCAAGCAACAGCCCTTACGCTCCATTCATTTATAATTCAGCAGCCAATGCGGGCCACGCGGCAGTGGTGGCTGCCACCCCCGCTTATCCTCTCGACGCACCCGCGCTCATTCGACTCTGCTACTTCTCCATCGCTTTGAAACAGCCAAACGCATACGTGGATGAGTGATTACGCATCTACACACGTTTTCTCATTTTTAATCTTTTTTGTTCCAACTACCGCCTCTGTACACACTTATTTCAGTTGGATAAGCTTTTCTTTCTCTACTTATTACAAAAGCTCTTACCCTTTTCTCTTCTTTTCTTCCAAGCTTTTCTTCACTTGTTACTCATCTTGCACTTCCGTTGACTTATCAGTGCACTATTCGATCTCACTTTTCCACTACCAAGTTCAAACTTTCTCAAAGTTCCCTTGAGCTCAGTAAAATCCCGCGAAAGCTCTCTTTTACTTTCTCTACGCTTACTCGACAAGTGTCACTTTTATTTGTATTTTTATGCCTTACGACATGGAGATATAAATGTCAAGAAAGTTTATTTGTTTTATTGATTTTATTATGGAGAGTCTGTTACCATAGTTATTATTTGT